ACATCAGGGGGGCGCAAGAAAACCACACAACTGTATAATTAACAACAAATGCAAAATTAAATCGCGTCACTATAAATTCTCCGCTAGGAGTAATGGTGTTTGTGTTCATCGCGTTTACGCACACCATCAAATTGTACACGTGTCGAATGTCGATACACTGATGGCGCTGTCTAAATGCGTAAGCAACGTAAGGCGTGGACTATGTCGATCGATCGATTTATTGATAAACAAATCACCATAGTCCGCATAAGTTTTTATTTGATTATAAGTAATACATAGACAAATAATACCAAGGTGTTATTTAAAATTCTTTTTTTAAAGTATTTAGAAATGTTCTTCGGAAAAAACTTTGCTACAGGTTTATTTTACATTATAGGATATATATAGGATATAGGCATATAGGATATATATATATATATATATATATATATATATATATATGTATATATATATATACATAGGCAGGATAAAATTTAAAACATTTAACAAATCGAAATAGGTTTAGTTAACTTATTTTAAAAATCAGATTTGTGAAAAGAAAAGTCCTAGTACAATTTATTACCGACTTGACTACACAAAAAAAGCGTTAACTGTTTTAAAACTTTTTTTACGTACATAGCGATAGGCTATTGGTGAGTAATAGTTAAGTGTTAGGGCATAGTATTTCTTGCAAACTTGTGGAGCCTGTTTATGCTATTGTTTTTTATGTCAAGGCATTTTTTCATTTAAATTTAGTATAGTATATGCGCAGATATATGGATGTAAAGGAGGCGAAAAAGGTATGTCAGGATCGTACCAAATAGAAGTCCGTAGTCTCTGCCTACCCCTCTGGGTGACAGGCGTGAGTGTTTATGTATTTTATAAATATATATATATATATAAATATATATATATATATATATATATATATATATATTATAAAATCTAAAAACTACAAACCGGTTCGGCAGACAAACCCTTATGGTTAATTAACTTATCTATAGCTAAAGTTGCGGCGTTCATCACTATAGTGCAATACTTTCGGTTGCAGTGATACCAGTTTATTTTTATAAAAATTGCACACTTTTGCTGCGAGGTAGCAAGTTTCGATTTGACTTATTTGGCCTGTATTTTGTATAATATTTTAATAAATACTAGTTATCGATTATATTTAATTATATAATATTCAGTATCGTGTTGAAATTGAGCTGAATATATAAATCATTTAACAAAATCCACTACACATCTATATGTATTGATTATTATTCATCACAAACTGATTTAGTTATTAGGAAATATATTTTCGTTAATATATATAACTTGTGTAATAAATTATATTTATTTTAAAATAGATTATTTTCCACTTTATGAACTATGATGGCCACACTCGGTATTGGACGATGATATTCACAAAGTACGAGTTTTAATGATAAAATTCCTTTAATATTATGTTAAAAATACTTACAGATGAAAAGTCACATTGTCCTTTTGTATACTTGACGTTTTTGATTTTTTTTTTTCATGTAACTACACTGCAATTCGGCATATTGTCGGAGCTCTTATTATATATAATCTTATTATATATATATTTACTGGCACGATCACTTCGTAATGACGCACGACGCGGAGAAATTAGTTTTATATAACGAGTATGAGTCGGACTCTCGTACCTTTTACAGAGGGGTATGCCTTGCGATGCTGTCTCCTTTGGTTTAATACTCAAAGATACGCAGTAGTTAAGACTAAGATAATATGTTAATAAAGTATGAATATATTTTCTATTGTACTGTACTTGGGGTGGAAAGGCAGAACAACCTTTAAATAAGTGAATTCCAATTATCCACCCCGTCTAGAGTGGAAAAACCAACACGCGATTCCGAGTACCCACCCTTGGGTGGATTTCTTAGGGTGGATAAAAGGAATAACCCATCTCGATGATAGACTGTGTCAACGTAGTAGGGACCACACTTTAAAGGTTGTAACTTTTCATATATTCATTATATTATTATTCATCATTATATTAATTCCAGAATTCGTTTCAAAATGACGATGATGATAGTGGTTGACTGCATGTTTGTATATTTTCTGATATGTTGTAATAATAAAAGATAGACATCAGGTAAAGAAATGAAACAAATGGTATTAAAAATCATGAAAAATTGTTTAATTGGCATACCAACTGATAACTTGTTACAACCTATGGCCAATTTTACAATTATCAATATTGTTAATAATTAAATATAATATTTATGTAAAATATGTTTATGCTTCAATGGTTTACTTACATTTAATTTTTATATCATTATTCAGAAAGATCTATATAGTAAAAAGACGAGGTCATAGACTTCGGTAAATAGGTTGTATAAAATGGTCGTAAAGATACTTTTATTTATCAAACGAGGTGGTTTAGACAATCGTACAGGACGACGCTCCTCCTCGCGTCCGCAGTAAACTCCTAAGGCCACGATTTATTACTAATTCTCACTTAACGTTATAAGAGCAAGCCGTGTTCTAGCGCGTGTCTTTGTAATACAGATAATACCATTTTTATGCAAATTTACACTTCGAGAGTCGTCAACGTGTATTTACATTTCCCGCTGACAACCGTCTGATAATAAAAAAGAAAACAAAAAAAGATGAAAATTGTTAGAACACTTATATGGAACGCATCCGAGTATCACCTTTTTTCTTTGTATTTAATGACATAAACAATTTTTGTCCTTTATTGACGACTAAAATGCGTTCCGTTACACCCAAAGCTTATGTCCTTACTTAACTATGAATTAAAATTTTATGGCAACTAAGCGCTCAGTGATTCACACACTGAAATTATTTACATGATGTATTCCGAATGTCACATTTAAATAAGTATGCCCAGACATAAGAACAGAGAGATCTCTTTTTGGTATTTTTAAGTAAAAACTGTCAATATAAACTTTAAAAAAGGCAAGTTGCACAATGCCATTGAAAATCTTTAATAAGCAGTATTTATGTCTGAACATATTTAATTAAAAATATCATAACCAAAGATTTTTAAACGGTTCATACTAGGGGGATACAGCTGTATTGTCGCAACACCAGCCTTTGTTACTGTGGGTAAAAATTTGATTTGAAAAAAGCAGAAGGGAGAAGTTGAATTTGGTGTTGCCATTGGAGGTGAAAAATATTTTATATTTAATATATGATACGTAGTTTATAAATTCACTTCTTCCCCTTCCCCATGCTAATGTCCTCGCTATGCCCACGTTAGTCAGTCGCAATAAATGCATTATCAAATTTTTAAATTCCCTTTACCACAGATTATAATACTTTATATCTTTTTTTTAATGTTATAAAATATCACCCAATGAGTAATTTAAAATTCTACCCGTCCAACTAAGTCTAGGTAAAATTGAAAACTCGATTGATTAGGAATGTCTCGTTATTAATACTGGTTGTTCTGTGGAAAAGTGATCCAAATAAGTCAGTTTTGTTCATTTCTTACAAGAAATTAATACACGATGATGGAGGTAGCACATAATTTATATTAGACGATTGTTGTTGGCAACACTTAAAATTGTGTAGGATATACTCCATCATAAATTACTATTTACGTATCGCGCAAACCGCTCAAGAGCCTAGCAGAGTGAGATTGTAAATTTTTTGGCACAAAACTATACTGTCGCGCATAAAATTACCGGTAAAACTGTAAATTCAAGTACATCACTGGTTTTAAATGCAATCGTATATTCTGAGCACCCACAACAGTCCACGGTTAAAATGTAAAAATTATCAAAAAATTTCATTGTTTATCATCACTTCATGTCAATATTATTTTCATAAAGTATTGACTCAATCACAATAGGTACAAAGCCGATGGGGTTTTATAACAAAAATAATTTAACATTAATGACATTTTGATTCATTACATAATTTTACAATTAAATACTCTACCTCATCTACGACAGCGAAGGGCGATACTAAATTTAATGCAGTGACCACTATTTAAGTATTTCATATAACTATACGATTTCCTGCAGCCATTTTTACTTTATAGTAAGTATGCAATAATAGTTTTTCAATTAAAATGAAGATAAAAGTCGAAGATACAATGCTACTGACAAATGCGAGAAATCCACATAAATTACGGTGAACAAATATCATTAAACCTATAACGATTTGAATAAGCAATAGAATTACACAAGTTATAATAACTAGGTATATTTTCAGTAAAATTTAGAGTTAGAGATATTGATACGCTGAATATATACAAAAGTACAGTTGCAGATTGAAGCAAATTTATACGGCGGTGAGCATTAGAGTTCATAAGTTCAAAAATATTTCACAAAGAACAAATCAAAATATTTAAAATTAATCACCCTAATGCTTACCACTTTCATTCGCATTATGAAAAAATACGAAGTAAACTAAATATTTATTTACATATCTAAAATAACAAGTTTGTTCTTGACAGCAAATATTTTGAGAAAGTTAGAAAAAATGTTTTTAACATTTTCATTTCTTTTTCACGTTTTATTGCTTTTCTTACAAAATACCAAATTAAGTAACAATTAATATGAAATCTACTACATTTGTTGTAGATTAGTGAAATTAAGAAGATATTGTAACTCAAAAAAAATATATAAAAATAAATGATAAAAATTCATGCTATTAAATTATAACAATATAGGTAGGCCACACACTGTAAATATTTTAGGCGACCTAATTTTTTAAGTACGCCCCACCAAAAATGTTTCAATAAATAATTCAATAACGTTTCGTATTTTCATTCAATTATTTAATTAAGCACTTAAAAATGTGGTGATTTATATAAGAGCGATACATTCAATTTTGAATTCCTACATTTCGGGTCTAAATTAATAATATTAAATTAAATGCGTAACGGAATAATAGACAACAATGATCATTATACGTGCAAGTTAATCGACGTGTGTAATTTGGTGATAACATCCGAACGTCGGCCGGCCGCACGGGCGGGTTTCGAGCGGTTGTCGGACGGTTGTTGGGCGATTGTAGGGCGGTTATTCGATGCTGTTGGTGGTGTCGTTGACGTCGTCGAACGATTCGTCGCCGGAGCCTGCGCCCGGTGCTAGGGAGGTGCGTTTGATGCGAGAAGATGACGACGCGCCGGAGAGACTGATGCCGCCACCCTGTCGCCTGTATCACAAAATAAAACTATTAAAAAACTTGCAGTTCACACGCGATAGACGTGAAACCATAGAATACTATAATACATACATAATAGAATGAGGGAGTGGGCGGAGCCCGTGTAGCCACTTACATGTCAATTCACACGTATAAATGTCAACACAATCATTCGTTTCCAATCTTCGTGTCAAGCGTCGCTGTATGCAAATTATTTAAAAAATGGCAAATTGTGCAATAATTACATGTCGAAAGAACAGCGGGAAATGGAATTTAAATAAAGGAGACATTCTACAACCAGTAGGTCGAAACTATTTATATTTTGTAAATATTAGAAACAAAAATAAAGAAACATTTATGTGTCAAAAACATTAATCAAAAGTCTAAAATGTGTTTGTAGTAGTGATAACTGATAATACGACGTAATTGCTTGTATGTGTGCTTCCGCTTCCGGCGATGCCAATCCTCCTACAAAGTAAGGTTGACAGCTATTCTATTGTGTATTATAGTATTCTATGCGTGAAACCTTTAGAAAAGGAAACGGAGGTCATAGGAAACACTGTATAGTGCATTCTATCTCGTTCTCTCGCATGCTAAACCCTATAGATGTATATGTTTGTGTTTTTAGTGTCGCTTTTACGTTCTATCGAGTATAGTATTCTATGCGTGAAACCTTTAGAAAAGGAAACGGAGGTCATAGGAAACACTGTATAGTGCATTCTATCTCGTTCTCTCGCATGCTAAACCCTATAGATGTATATGTTTGTGTCTGTTTTTAGTGTCGCTTTTACGTTCTATCGAGTTTAAAATCGCAACGATTCTAATCAAGTTTTCACTTCAACATACAACACATTACTTGGACTATAGACATAGAGAAATGGACTGAGCCATTACATTGATTAATGGACTCCAAGAGTTGATTCAAGTCTGTCAGTGACAATGTTTTAAATAAAAATAAACCACATTCATAATGCCATTTTGCTTTCGATTTTATTTATTTAGAAATAATTCACAATTGTTTTTTTTTTTTTTAATAATTTTTCACTAAAAATTCAATCTTGTCTTGATATCTATGAATCGAACATTTCCACATGCTGCCACAATTATCTTAATTACCGTTATTTGATGACCTTTTACTTTTTGTTACAAACGAGATATAAATAGTTTTAAATCAAAGTCAATAGTGAAGAACTACAAACATTAAAAGAAAACAACAACAATCTTTGTAAGTTAGTTGCGCAAGTTTGTTAATATTTTTTATTTATTTTTTTATTTAAAAATTTTGATAATTAGTTTTATATTAAGTCTTCTTCATTGTAAATTTTCGGATTGCTGCCAGTTTACTTAAAAAAAAACTATTAACCAGTGAAATAGCAAATGTTAAGTATATGGATACATGGATACCCCAGTTTAGTTTCTATTTAGCCGCAAAATCACAACATTCCATATCTATCTAATACATTTAAACAAGCAATTCTTGTATATATATAATCGGAATCTCGGAAACGGCATCAACAATTTTCATGAAATTAGGTGTGCAGGAGGTTTCGGGGGCAATAAATCGATCTAGCTAGGATTCGTTTTTAGAAAATGTCGCTTTATCCATGTTTTCAGACAGTAAAAAACTGCAACAATATAATTAGAATACCCAAGGTAAAATTTGCCGGTGTCTTTCGAGTTATAATAGCTCAAATGGGACATCGGGCGTTCCCGAAATCTTGGTACCCCGATTCGAGTCAAGATGGTCTTCGGTACGAATATTTTTCCTTTTTTTTCAATTTCCCTTTCCCTTTTTATTTCGAGCCTTTTTTTAAATAATTAAATTAAACTAATTGCTCTAATGATTTTTTATTTAAATAACCAGTTCAGTTTTATTTTCATTATGTCGGTAAAATCGAAAAATATTATTTATATTTCATCAGTATGTAATTTGTACCTAAATATAATTTCCAAAAACACGATTTAAAAAAAAATACCGAGCAACGCTCGGTCATCCTCTACTCTCTGTTATGTTAGTTGGTAGACCTATCTATATACTTATGTGGCGGAGAAATAAATATAATTTTTATTTTCATTTTCATTACAGGATTTTCTTCTGTTCCTAAACAAAATTATTACATAAATAGTTATCAATTTTATCGGAATAGTACTGGATTTATAATCTTATGCTTTTAACGTAATTAATAGTTAATTATTATTCTAATATGAAATGAGCTGAAATTATAAATGCGATATGATCCACGTGAGAAAGCAATGATAACACAAACATAAATTGACGTAACAAGACCGCTCTGTTAACTTTTCTAGAAGCCAACACTAACAAACATTTCTAAACTTCCCATATGCCAGTTTTTGTTCAATTTCCGCTAATAAATCATACCATACACAAAAAACAAAAGGAATTAACCTAAAATAAAAATATATATTGAAATAATACTAGTTTTTACGGAATTTATCGCGTATATTTAACTTTTTAAATACCCGACGTATTTAAAAAACTTAAAACTTTTTAAGTAGATAATATTTAAAAAGTTAAATATACGCGATAAATTCCATAAAAACTAGTATTATTTCAATGTGTAGTGTTCGCGTAAATATAAGAAATCATTATAAAAATATATAGTTATAAATTGCATATTTTAGGGCGGAACTTAAAGCCCTTGAATAACTTCGCAACGTGTATTAAATTTAAAAGTATCAAAAAGACTTCTTGCTATTTTCGATCAATCTCAAAAAGCTGCAGGTGTAAAGAAAGATGGAATCCATCAAAGTATAGTACTGTCGACTAAATTGATGATACGCTTACGAAATTTATTAGCCAAATTGAACCACTAACATTGCAATCTCACACCTCGATTACCTCACATTAGCCGCCACTGCACCGCTAGTCGCTATTATCTGAGAAGGATGGCCTAAACAAATATAATATTTCTGTGAATATTCACGTGAATCGGGATATTAAATAAAAGAAATAGTTTGTATGGCTAGGTTTCGTTCGAACGTTTCAGTTGCAACATTTGGACGATCATATATTATATTGCCAGCAATAAAATAATGATTTGAAATGCAAAAATAATAATTCAAAACATGTAGATTTGAAATTTATTACTGTTGTAAACTGTAGGTAGAAAAGTTTCAAATCCATCCGTCACGAACATATTTGTGATTGTTGTGTAGATGCGAATGCCTGCGTGCGTGCGTGTACGTACGTGTGCGAGTACGTGTGCGTATGTACGTGTGCATGAGTACTTTTAATAGAAAAAGGCTGGCAAACGAGCACGTAGTCCACTAGATGGTAAGCGGATGCTATGACCCATAAATATCTACATTTATACACGATTTTTAATCAAAATGCAGATCCATTGTCACCTGCTGAAGACTAAGATGAAATACCTTGTTTTGAGGAAAAGGTTTGAGGGGTCTCCGGTTCTCTACACTCACCATAGTTGGTATTGAAACGTAAAGGTAAACTTGTCTGTGTGTGTGTGTGTGTGTGTGTGTGCGTGCGTACCGCAGCTTGTTGCGCAGGTTGGAGCACTCGCGCGCCAGCGTCTCGTGTGTCTCGAGCAGGTCCTCGAGCTCGCGCTGCGCTTTGCGCTTGCCGACCTTCTCACGCTGCACCTCTTCCTCCGCCTCGTCCAGCTGCCGCTTCAGCGTCTTCACGCGCGTGTTCATCTGGAACACGCTCCCGTGTTAGCACACCCTTCAAGACTGCCTGCTTAGCAGTTCATCACTCAGACAATATAAAAATAACCCAAATTTGCACGGGAATTGGTAAGTACCTCAATAGTTGCTAATAAATTGTTATAAACGATTTTATTAGTCAAATAACAGTTTAGCAGCGATATAATGAAATCAATGATGGGTAAATTAGTAGAAAAATGGGATAAAATTTGTTGCTAATTTGTTGTCGTTGAAAAGCAATTTAACAAAAATAGTTCAACGAGTTTTCACAACCTATCAACTTGTACCCAAGAACAAGAGTTCATGCTACTGTATTATATATAACTGCATGTAATATAATCATAGATTTTATTGCTTGTCATAAATGACATCAGGGATACACAGTGAGAATATGGCCAGCAATTTTGTTTATTTTTCACGCAGTCACCAGTTTCGGTTGCACGGTGTTCTTTTTATAGAATAATGGCGACAAACGAGCACAGAGCTCACATACTGTTGCGGATGGACGTCTACGTCCATCCTCTGATCCTGAAATTAGAATGAAAATCCGTTGTCACCCCTGAGGCCTAAGATAAAATGACTCGTTTCAAATAAAAACAGTTTCCGGTTCTCTACGGTCGGTACAGTCATAGTAAGTACCATACGAAACACAGTGGGATAATTAAGCTGATATTTTATGCAGTTATTCCATAAGAGTACCTAAAACTAAATATTTCTGCTCTAGCACTTGAAAAGTTTTGTGTATGTATTACCTTCTCGATCTGCTCTTTGTACTGGTCGGCGTGGCGGCGCTCTTCGTCGAGCTGTAGCGCGAGCTCTTTCATCTTCTTGTCGAGCTTGCGCGACGCCTTCTGCTGCGCCAGCCGCTCGCGGGACTCCGCCTCCAGCTGCTCCTCCAGGTTCGACACCTTCAGCTCCAGCGATGTGATCACACCCTGCCACAACAACAACGCCATGTCTTACACGATACACTCTACATTACTATATTTTAACATATATACGTCGCACCTATAACCTCCTGATAGGTGAGCTATTCAGACTGCCACCAAGAAAAAAACAGGGAAAAGTGCCAATAAACTACGTATAGCCGAAAATGTATGGGTATAGATAGAAAATTATGAAAAAAATGATGTGCCTAGCCCAACACATACACAATCACAAACTCACTGTACAATTACAACACGCCTTTTACGACGGGCTAGGCAAGTATCGCTCTTGACTTACATTGAAACAATATTTACTACGTACTAGTAGACACGTCTAGTCTTGGTTTTTGCAGCAAGAGTTAGAGCCCGCGGACTCAAACTTCCGCACAGGTTTTGTTCGCGGTGTTTCCCAGTACGTAGTACATACATTTTAGTTCAATGATGACAAATTATTTTTTGTTTTATGTCACCTATAAATACATAATACGTGATAATCAAATAGGAACCTTTTTAACTTGAATACGTCTTTAAATTTGCTTCCGTAGAGGAAGACAATTCAGTAAACTGATGATGACAAACAAAATCGGCGTATACAGTTTGGTGTTGCAACTACATATCTACCATCTACATACATTTAATTACACCACTAGATAGCAAAGCGATCAAAGAATTGGTTACGTCGAGTGCTAATTGTACGCATCGCGCGCGGTGTAGAGTGGAGCGTCGCTATTTTGGAGTTGTTTCGTAACGTACACGTATTCACGTGAAACACACCCCGATCTTTTTTATATGAACTTGAAGTGACCAACAAACTTATCGTCCACCTGATTATAAGTGGCTTCTATAGCATACGAATAAAAAAATTACAAATACAAATAAATAATGCTACAGAGGCATTGTTGAGGACTTAGAATGAATACCTCATAGATCACAACTGAAAACATAAAACAATATGAAGAACACAGGATTAGTACCTTGGTCTTGGTGCGTCCAGCTGTTTCGAGCTCTGCTAGCTTGGCCTTCAGTTCTTTGTTCTGTCTCTCCAGAACCAGCTTGCCGCTCTCCATCTTCTGAGTGGCGGCCTTTTCCGTGCCCAGCTCCATCGTCAGTTGGTCGATTTGGTTCTACCAGCATAAACAATTATATATATACCAGCCATAAGAAAATAACTAGTACTCATTCGATGGAACGGATAGAAATGTACCATAAGCCTTTGACAGATTGTAGAAAAACTGACCTAGTTATGTAACTACAGAAGTACACAATTGTGTTATGAAATAAACAGGGCATGATGGCTATGGTAGTGCTTCACTGTTGGCAAGGCGGATAGGCGATTTTGCTCTTTAAATAGCTTTAAATAAGCCTGTTATAATATAAAATAATTTATAATTCATAAACACAAATATGATATAGGCTACATCATATTTCCCACCGACAATAAATATCTAAAATTAATTTAAAGTGCATGGTATTTTAAAGAAAAAAAACTGACCTGTGACTTTCGCAACCGGTCGTTAAGTATCTCGTTGTTGGATTGTTCTTCGTCCAGGTCCTCCTCAAGCGCCGATATCCTGGCTTCGAGCCGCTTCTTCTCGTCTACTAGGCTCGTGTTCTATAATGCATTTTAGTTACGTTTAGTGTTATTACTCATAAATTAAATTAATTATACTTTGATCTTTTTATAGTATTTCTGCAAACGATTATCTCTGCAATATTATTAGTCTTCTTCATTGCTGTAGACATGATATCTACCAAGGCATTAATTGCCAAAGTTTTACATTGATCTGGATTCTTCTTTTCTCATATCCATTTTACATTTGGCGTAATCGAGACTGTTATACCATCCTTCACATAAAGGATCTCTATTCCTCCGTCTTGAAATTCTTTAATTTCTATCTTAAATATTAATTTATTACGCGCAGCGTACACTACGAGATTGTGCGCGCGCGTGGATGCGTATTCCTTGCACGTTTCATAGTCACGTGAAAGTGAGTAAGAGAACACATATGTATATGTACGTGTGTGCGCGTGTATGTGCCTGTGTATGCGTGTGTGTGTGTGTATGTGTGTGTGTGTGTGTGTGTGTGTGTGTGTGTGTGTGTGTGTGTGTGTGTGTGCGCGTGCGTGCGTGCGCGTGTGTATGTGCGTGTTTGTGTGCATGTGCGTTCATGTGCGTGTGCGTGTGTGTGTGTGCGAATGTGCATGCGTGTGTGCGCGTGTTCGTGTGTGCGTGTGTGTATGCATATGTGTGTATGCGTGTGTGCATGCGTGCGTGTGTGCGTGTGTAATCGCGTGCGCATGTGCGTGCGCGTGTGTGTGTGTGCGTGTGTAATCGCGTGCGCGTGTGTGTGTGCGTGTTTGTGTGCGTGTGTGATCGTGGGTGCATATCGATTGTGTTATGCATAGGCATGTGAATGTTTGCGTGTGTGTGTGTGTGTGTGTTACCTTGGCGGCGTGCGCAGCAAGCTCGTCGAGCAGGTCGTCGCGCTCGGCCTCCGCGTGGCGGCGCGCGCGCTCGGCGGCGGCCAGCTCCTCGGCGTGCTGCGCGGCGGCCGCCTCCAGCGCCTTGCCGCGGCGCTCGGCGTCGCGCGCCGCCGCCGCAGCCTCCTCGCGCCCCGCGCGCGCCTCCTCCGCCTCGCGTGCCGCTTCCTTCAGCTGCTGCTGCAGCTTCTTCACCTGCTTCGCCGCGTCCTCCTTCACCTGTAACACCACATCACTTGCTTACGATTTGCTTCGTACTTTGTAATGCGTACAGCAATGAGGTGAATAAATTTGTCTTTATATCCGATTACAATTTGAATGACTCCATTGCAATCAAATTAGGGATTCTGCGGGGCAGGATGCTGGGACCGGTACTTTTTTATTTATTCTAAGTATAGAACTTCGTCTACGATGCGATTCTGCAAGTTAACCTTCTCGCTGGCATTGATATTGCATGGTTATGACCGCTACGTAATTTAGGGAAACACGGGAAGGTGTGTGTCGCCTCTATGCAGGCGTGATACGGTCCTTAACCTTATACTCCGCGCATGTATGTATGTATGAAAAAGACTAACCATCCGACGCTGTAGAACTAAAATCTAGTGTGCAGCGATGATCGCCATACGGATTGTGCGAGGATACCGCACAATATCCTTTCAGGCGACGAAAATCCTGGCTCGTTTTTCATCTTTGGACAAACTGGCGGACATGGATGTGAGGATGTACGATCGGACGCGTGTCCTCCGCCAGAGCGGTAAGAGTGGACCAGATGAGGTGCTCGAGGGAGTTAAGGGGCAGGAAAACGTATTCGCAACGTAGGACGCTCGTCTCTTTGAGGAGCATTATAAGCGCAAACTTGTTGCTGAAGCAATCCTGCCGCACTTGAAAGTTTGGACACATCGACGAACAGGAAGACTCACCAACAGACTAACACAGATGTTTACCGGGCACGGATGCTTTGGTAATTATTTGTGTAAGATCAGACGCGAAGCAGCGGCGAACTCCTACCACGGTGAGCAAAACTAGGACTCCACATCCCATACGTTAGTCACATATCCAGCGTGGGGACGGACGCGGACAGTATTGGTGAGTCGGATCTATCAGATTCTCTCCTTGCCAGTAATAGTGTCAGCGATGCTGAGCAGAGACTAGGCGTGGAGGGCCGTAGCTGCCTTCTGTGAATTCGTCATGGTCCAGAAGGTCCGTTATGCTGAGCGGTGTCGAGAGAGGACAGATCTCGTTCGGAGACGTCATCGCTAAGGCGTTCGTCACTGCTCTCCTCTAGACTATGGTGTTCCCTATCAGAAAGGAGGCCTCTGGGGTTACGGGTACTCGAGACAGGGCACGCCTATAATGTAACCCCTGAAGAGGAAGATGACTCGAATTGGTCGCGAGACATCGTCGACAAACACTGAGAGGATGCTAAGAGCAGCAAGTACTACACCATGGACGTGCTATAATATATCAAAGCCAGAGATGGACCCCGGTTACATTCCTAACGGAGATCCCGGGGACCCCTCATATGCTGATGACGCTGACGGTGACCATCGTGGGATTTAAGCCGGTAGGAGTCCGGCATAACCTTCCTGTTGCCCCCGCATCCGAAGGTATTCAAGAGGATTTCCCCACGATAAAAAAGGCCAGGAAGTGCCATCCCCGGAATGTTCTAGAAGCAAACAATAGCGATGAGGGTCCGATTGCGTACCGAACGGAGGTGGTAATGACATGAATCGAAATTTTTAAAGCTATCATCACGATTTTGACTTTTATTCCGCATTTTATTGAAATGGAATCAATGAAGACTGATGCATAGAAGCAGAAAGTACTGTTCTACCAAAAATAAAATACATTGATGATTATAAAATGTTTTGAATGCAATCCCGATTTTTGCTCTGCTGAGTTGAGAAATGTAACAACATCAATGTAAGCCTACCTAATGTCATTTTTTGTTTATACAATAACACAATATAATAGATAAACACAGTATATTAGATAAACATAAATATGTATAACCAGGTCAGAGTGCCTTTTGATAATACATATTTATGTTTATCTATGATTACAATCTCACACCTAATCTATTACAAAATTTAAGTTGCAATAACTATCACCTCACCTGTTTTGTGTGAACGATAGTTTATAAGACATACTGACATGAAAGTGATATTCACAGAAGTATAGTCTAGTTTTTGTAGGCAATGTATTCGGGTCTCTTCTTGCCAGTTTTAACCAAGTATTTCTCATATTTAAATCAGTGGGCACTTGAATCCATAACTTACCCCCGGCATTCTTATGCTCGTATTTTTCTATTCAGGCACAACACACAAATGATAAAGATGATATTTCATTATTAAACCTTCAAAAATATGTTATTTACTTGCAAAATCTTTTTATTTACTAGCGCAGTGACGTCACAAGCCAAACAGCATGAAAGCTAGTGTTTTCGCGCGTTAATTTAAAAAGATAGATTAAAAGTAATTTTTATGACACTATTCCTTACGTTCCTTACAAAGTGACAAACGAATTTGTAGGTTTAATTTAAAACACTATTTCAAAATAGGTGTCATACCCCATTGTAATATGCACATATTGCATAATATGTTGCTTTACACTAGTTAAATGGTGCATTTGCCGTCCATCAACTCGCTATTGCTCTATTGCTATATACCGTCCTCGGTACAGTGTCGGTGGTAAGTAAATAAAAATCCTTGGGGTCAAATAATGGTGAACGAGGTGCATTTATTACGATAGAATACTATGCGACTTGTCCTTCCCCGATTCGTACTGTTACAATGCGCTGCGGGGAGTTCAAGTTCTGATTTATTGTAATAATGCAATATATTATACACGTAATACATCTCCACACCGACTAACGAACAATAGCTAGCTTTAAACAAAAACCCACTCACCACCCTCCTTAGATAGTATGTACATACCTTATTAGCAAGGTGCAAGGCCTGCTCGGAGTCCTTAAGATCCGACTCCAGCTTTTTACGCTGTGCAATAGCGGCAGCCCGCGTCTTGCGTTCCTCCTCCAGCTCCGCTTCCAGGTCGCGTAACTGTTTCACAATGCCGCGACGCTTCTCCTCGCCTTGCTCTTCTTTAGCCTAAATGTACAAAATTTATTATCAAAAAATGATAGTTATTGAAAATTAAATTTCTAGAGTTTTAACTTGTTTTGTATGTACTGTATCGTATTTTTTTTTCATATTATTTACTTTATCCTTTATTGTACACACTATAAGATGTAAAAATTATTAAAAAGAAAAAGCAAGCTTAACGCTAATAAGAGCTCTCTTCTAGCAAACCTTTGAGTAGCAAAGAGCAGCTTACGTACTTAATAATGAACATAATTACTATTTTCTTTCTATGAGTAATATAATTTAGTAAAATTGTGAAAAATCGTTTTAATTTAAAATGCGTGTAAAGAAGAAAGGTAAATAAATTTAAAATGATATTTATTTTACACAGTAATTCATGTTTAAAATGAAAAAGTTACTAAGACTTAGGAAAATTATTTAATAAGGTGTAATTACAAAATGTTTGAACCAATGTTCCAGCCGGTAAAATAGTATGAGCGGTTGAAGGAATCAATAACCCGCAATTCTAACTCAAATTAGGCTTGGCAGGCATTACCTACATTTAACCTTGAGGTAGACACGTTCTCGGTCAGCTACAGATAATCTTATCCTTCACTCACATCTCGGCTTTAGTAGATACCACACAGTAGGTGTTAAGTTCGAATCCAAGTCGAAGCTAATATTTGTGCAGAAACAAACTTCTATTCGGGCCTTGTTATTTATTGGTGACTATCCTCATGTCTCCAACACTGTTTTAGTCTACTTCCGTTTTGATGCAATTATTTATTTTTATTTATTTAATTCAGAAAACTAACAGCATTAATACATTTAACTTATAACAAAATTCTAAATGGACATGGCTATTAAAAGATATTCGCATAATATGGAATACTGTGTCCAGCTACTCGAAAGTACTTTGTGGTCCTTGTATCACATAATATGTATAACATTGGGCACATGTAAATTAAAACAAGAGTACATGTTTGCGCGTGCATTTATGGTACTGTATCTTCTGCGCAGTTTGATATGTTCCAATCGAATCAATTGATTGAATGAGTAAATAAATGATGAATGACCTGCAACTCTCGCTCGAACTGCGCGCGCATCGCCTGCATGTTGACCTCGAGGCGCAGCTTGGCGTCCTCGGTGAGCTGCAGGTCGTCCTCGATCTCCTCGTTCTGCGCACGCAGCTCCGCCAGCTGCGACTCGAGCGCGCGCTTGGCGCGCTCCAGCTCGTGCACGTTCTTGTCGGCCGTGCCCTGCGTGTTGGCTAGCTCGTCCAGCTCCGCCTGCAGCGCGCGCTTCGAACGCTCCAACTCCTCAACCTGCACACAGAACATGTCATTTCAAATTTTAAAAATTACAATCAAACAAAAACTAAGCCCCTTGACCTGTGATTCAATAAACAAACGTCACAGATACGACGAAAATCACGTTAAGAACATAGATACACAACTACCATTTCTTCATTTCAACCAAAAAAACTGGAACGTACAGTATTCGATTCTTGAATTATATATTCGATTATTTAAAGTTGGTAATCATTTACAGTTTGGTTTGAATAATACCAGAATAAATTAGAAACGGATAATTTGAAACACAAGATTTATCAGTTTATTCGTACTTGTCGTTACTCCTTATTTCTAGGGCAAAGTTATAAAGATGTAAGATTGAAACTAGATTAAAAATAAATTTATTTAATCACTTTCAGTACAATTAGTTAAGCTGTCGTTGTTTATATTAATTATTATTTAATTTAAAATTAATGCAATCAAAATTAATGTCTCTTTCAAAGTCATTCACAATTATTTTATTGTTTTTTCTACCACTTTTGCCGAATCATCCTTTGTGACATGGGCACATGCTTCAACGAATATAGAAGAAACAATCCGAAAAGTTAAAGCCGAGTCACAAAATAAGAAGACAAATACAAAATTACAAAATTACGCACAGTAAGGTCCCGAAATGGCGGGAGACTGAAATTACGTAGTGGTTTTTTCAGCGCAGCCTTGTATATGAGTTTTTTTGCCTACACAAATTTACGTTGACAAAGTAAAAAAATAAACTTGTTTTATTCATGGTTAATAAAATAAGGAATTTTAAAAATAACATTTTAATTAAACAATTAATTTATTAAAAAAATTAATGATTCGATTATATGAATATTTTTACTGATTATGTAATTATTTTTGCCGATTATTCGCTTAACAATTAATTTTAATTATCCAAACACTACGGTAAGCTACATAGCAATATATCATTGAAACGACGTCAAGTAAAAAAGTTGATACTGGTTATTTTCTTAATATTTTCCATTGTTTGAAAGATTCGAATTTAAATTGTGATAAATAAAACTATACACGTTGTAATGAAATTTAGATAACTTCATGATTCTTCGGATTTACGTAAAAGGTTATTTTAAATCGTGTGAGTACGCTTGTGCAAAGTTATTGCGGAATGATCAATGCGAAACGTCAAAAGGTATTTTCTTAGATTTGTTTGACTATAGTAATTTGGTGATAACATAAGTGTGAGGTAGATTGTGAGGAAGATTAATATACACTATCTAGAAAAATTAAGATTATAACAACGTGAACGTCTTTGAAACTCAGATAAATTAACTATTTACCTATTTAACCATATGTTAATAAATAAAATAAAAATAGGTATAATCTGTGGCGCACCTTCTCCGCGGCGTCGTCGAGCTCGCGCGTGAGGCTGAGCACGCGCGTCTCCTTATCGCGCGCATCGCGCTCCGCTGCGTCTCGTTCCGCCGCGTTGCGTTCCGCCACGGCGCGCTCCTCCGCCAACACCTGACAATGCACACCATTACACATTACATTATTATGCAATATCTATAGATACACGCACACAAATACAATAATCAGCATTGCATGCAGCACGAGTTTACGAAGCAGCATGAAGAGTACTCAGTTATCAGGTGACGCGCAATATATGCTAGTATGTATGAAATATACTGTGGACCGTTATAAATTTCGGCCAGTCTTAATGGAGACTAACCATTTGATCAGGACAGGATTATAGTGTACTTGTGTGCACAAGCACAGGTATTTCCTTACTCTCACAGTCCCATGGGATGGAAATTTGACCGAACGGAAAGAAAAAAGGCTGAAACACCGCCAACTTTTTAACTCCGGCTTGCTACTGAGAGTTACTTGAAAAATTAATTACTAATTGAACACTACTCTGGTCGTAGGTCCTACTAAAAGGTTGACCCGGAACGCTCAATAACGTAATCGCTATCTCAATACTTTGATGCGACTCGGGTCAAATTAACGAATCATTAACGATTGACACATCTAGTATAGCTTTAAAATTGTGAAAGAAATGATAAATGACTAGCTCATCGCCTATGCAAAATCCAACATTCCGTTAGTCGCCTTTACGACATGCTAGTTAAGAAGTTGGCAATTTCTTCTAAGTAACACATAAACGTGAGACCTTTAAGTCAGTAGTGGACTTTTTATATGTTATAATGGGTAAAAGTATTAAATACCAACACAAACCTTATCGAAGTTCTTCTGCTTCTTCTCAAGTTCTAGCACCTTGGCGCGCTGAGCTTCCAACTCTATGTTAGTGTCTTCCAGCTCTGCTTGGATTTTCTTTTTGCCTGGTATAAAATATTACAACAGGGTTAGGAGTTATGATGAGTATATTTTCTACCGCTCAATACGGTTCATGTAAATGGGGAAGTATAGAAATAATATAACAACAGATAGCAGAGAATGTCAACACATTGTAGTGTAAGAAACATTTTATACATATCTTTAAAAACTCTAATTTACAGTTTTAGATAAATTACATTGTAATTGTTAATTAATTTAACTTTCGACCGTTAATTTATCTTATAATTGTAAATTTAAAAACAAGTGTATAATACCTCCCCTCGAGGATGGTTAAAATTTCGTCGAAAACCATAGAAAAAAATCATTATGACAACTCACTCTTGTCCAGTTTGTCATTGGCTTGCTGCAGTTCGTCGATCTGCCGGTGCAGAGCTTCCACATCCTTGCTCAGCTTCTTGCGCTGCTCTTCTATAGCTGCTGCTATTTCCGCCTCTTCCTCCGCCTTCTTCTTCGCGTCTGCGACTTGCTGCGTTAGTGCTGCCACCTGGAATAAATGTGAATTAATGATTAATTTTGACGTGTAGTGGCCCTGTAAAATCCACTGCCCCATATCATCTCATGGGTGTTGTAAGAGGCGACAAAGGGAAAATACGCTATGTCCGCCGCGCTGCCACAATGCGTGTTGGCGAACTTCACATGTGTTCGAAAAATTTTTTTCTTATTTCTCATATATGCAGGTTTCCTCACGATGTTTTGCTTCAAGTCCAAGCACGTGGTAAACAAGCACTTAAAATTGCAATTAACAATTTCATTGGTGTGGAGATTGATCCTGGCTTACTCTCGTACTGTGAAATTTACAGTGAGCGCTAACCATCTGAGCTACCATGGTTTCTATTAAGTAATTTATAATAATAAACTTCTATAAAAAAAACTGTAATTAAAGCACATGGTAAGATTTAATGAAACTGTTATAGAAACCATTAACCCATTGCAACCAGTGGTTGTCGTATGATATCATAGGCAAAGATCAGAAACACCTCAGCCTCTATTAGCCAAACATCTCTTATCTCTTATATGCCAGCGACAAAGGTGTAAGATAATCTGATCCTGCAATTGATAATCTGCCTGCCAAGGGTGTCGATTAGAACAAATCTATTATACAATTAGGTAAATGTTCACCAGTGAATGGTTACTAGCTGATAAAATCACATTGAAAAATGACAAAAGAAATTAAAATAACCAATTGTTGAGCACTTGGCTATACTTCAACTTATATGCTGGCATTGAAAAGGTTCTAAATATTCCGCTAAAGAATTGATATCTAGCGGTTTTTGATTACAAGAACCGCTATATTGGGTTTTGGTTCAAGTATTAACTTGAACCAAAACCTAAATAAGAACGGAGGAGAAACAGACTGATCCCACGTACGCAACATATGCAATGCAACGCTCCCATGTTGATGTACACACTTAGCCTACGTATGCAACATCCGTTTACCGTCAGACACTCCTGTCACTTCTTAGTGGGCGCACGAGTACAAATTTATACCATGTTATCTGACTTTGAGAATGATTTACTTGGTCTGATGTTCATAAACGAATATATCCACGCCACAAACAAAAAGTTCGGGTACTCGTAGTAATTTTTGAATTTATGATTTATAATGCAAACAACTGCACGATTGTGTAGAACACCGTGTTTTATTTCAACAATATTTATAAAATCACGTTTCATATCTTTACTAGAGATGGGCCGAATATTCGTTTCATATTCGGTATTCAGCAGATTTACCGAATATTTGTATTCGGCCGAATATTCCGGCTAAATCAACGAACATTCGTTAAAGTGATACTTAAAGTGTCCACTGTATTGAAACGTACGAATTGAGTAATGTTGTCTTTCATAATTTTACTATTGAAAGTATATTTTATTTATGAGTACTTCCAATGTATAGTTTTTCATACAAAATCAAGCGTTTACACGACATAATGGGTTGCATACGTGGGAACAGTTTGAATTTAGACACCTTTTTTTAGCGGTAAACGAGCGAAACAAGTAGCCATAAAAATGATATTTTCGGTAAATAAGACTTTATGGAGTAATAAATTTATTATTACATACCACATAATTTACAACGCCATGAAGGCCCTCTTCACCCAGGAACCTAAATTTCGGTATTTTGGAACCGATATTTTTAAACCGATACCTTACCTAGAAGCAGAACCGAAACCTTACAGAAAAAGGAAACTTTTTAAAATCTAAATAAAGAACCGTACTGAAATTTGGAACTGGCTTTCAAACCCTACCTACATGCCAAACATGGAGAAGTGATTTAACATAGAACAGGTGGACCATAAACAATTGGTTTATTTAAAATTATCTTATAAATTTTCAATTATCATCAGTTTTAATCGAAATTTCTTTGGGATTACAATCATAATCAGGTAACTAAACTAGGACATAAATACTTCTGCTCATGTTTAGTGATGCCAAATGTTTAACTGACCTGCTTCTCCAAGTTCTTCTTGGCCTCCTCTTCTTCTTCCAGCTGGTCGCGCGCCTGTTCCAGCTGCTGTTCAACATTGCGCAGTCGCGTCTGTAGCGACAGCTTCTGTTTCGTTTCCTCTTCCAGAAGTGCCTAGGGAAATCCAATAAATTATTCAGAAATATTCATACGTAGTATGTTTAGACAATAGATAATTTGGGCAAGTTAGAATTATCATAAACATAGACAAATAAAAGCAATATATTTGACCGATTCCGAGTATTCAAAAATTGTCGCCGTGGTCGGATATCGACGACATCTTCATGTTGTCATACATCACAATTATTCGTTTGTTTGTTTGGGTGTTCATTCGTACTTTGAACAATATACAGGGTTATTTTACAATAACCGGCCAAATTTGCAGAGAAGAATCAGAATAAGTAATATAGGGGCGATAAGTGAAAAAAATAATTAAAAAAATCTCATTCTCTAGTTCTCCCATTCTTTCTTCATCTTTTTAATTCAAAATGCGTGGTAATGCATTATTTTAACTGATTTTACTGCGCACGCACACATTCAGAAGGGTCGATGATCTGTAGGCAAAAACGTTGTTGCCCATAAATCACATTCAAGTTTGGATAAATTTAAATAAAAAATAAGCCTTATTTACTCGTATTTCCAAAAACTGCAATAACGTTATATCATTATTTATATATTTGAACTTAAGTTGAAAATGTGGCTACTTTTTAAAAAATAACCCTGTATACATACACTATTTAAGCACGTACAAAATGATTACCCACTCTCTTCCATCGATCTGACTTACTTCACGTATAAATTTCAATAGACACTTTATTCGCTTCAAGCAAAAGGATGTCTGTATGAGGGTGTTGCATTAACAGTTCGCGTACATGAAACTATGCATATGGTCGTGGTAGGTAATTATGATATTTATTTCATATATTTTATCGAAAGAGTGCAAGGTACAAGGAACATTTATTGAATCCCCTATATGCGTCTTCTCACCTTTATATTAACAGTCTCATTACTGAAAATGATATCTCTCTATCAGACAACCTTTGCATTGAGAATAGATCCAAAGAATTTTGAAAATATAATAATGGAAAGAGTAGGAACAGGTAAAAAGTAATTTATACATTAGCATTCAAAGTAAATGTGTAATAACATCCACTATCCCATATCGTCCTGAGGGTGTTGTAAGAGCAGACAGAGGGATAATTAAACAGAAAAGGGCGGCAGGACCCTCCTGATAATAACTCAAAAAAACAAAAAGCTGCGGTTGCCAGCCCGCCTGACAAACATGACAACTATGGTAAAATCCCGCATGAGGAAATCTATGAGGTCGGCCGATGTCAGTAATGGATATATAGTCTGTAATGGATGGATGGATGGATGTTATTTTTTAAGCTATTGCATAGCTTCTATCGCGGGCCTTGAGCGCGGGGACCGAATCCAGAAATTCCGTAACAAAAAAAACCACACGCTCCCCACTCCGACGGGCACGGAGGTGTGGCGTTGAAAGCCGTGCATCGTCGAACGTCGTTTCAGTTCGGCAGACTTCGGCACTCGGCAGAGTTCGGCACGGTGTTTGTGTGCGTGCGACTAGACGTATGCGTGTACACTAGCTGCTAACTCAATGATAAAAATTCCTAAATAACCAACATGTATTGTAAGATATTAAATATATTTTAAACAATATTAACTTCTCATTTATTCAATAAGAGAAAAAAAATTGTTTTCTTATCGGTCACCACGCTCAAAAAGTGTACTTGATTTAATATCAAAGACTTAACTGCATAAATAAAATAAATAAATAATTATAATTGCATAAGTTGATAAAAAATGCTATGCAATAGCTTTACCGCGGCAGTCACCGAGTGCCACACGTATTTTTAATCGTGTATAATTCGAAGTTCGGTCGAATTCATCCTAAATAATAATTGTTAGCAAGAGTTCTGAAAGCGGTTAAGTTGCTAGGCGCGGGGAGCGTGAGGGCGGTACCTGTGCCTCGGCGTGCTGCGCGCCCGCGGTGGCGGCCTGCTTGAGCGCGGCGGAGGCCTTCAGCTCGGCCGCCTCCAGCTGCTGCAGCGCCTGCTCCGCCTCGGCCTGCAGCCGCGAGCACTTCTCCTGCGTCTCCGTCCTGCACGACCACACCCGTTAACGCTTCTTTTTTTAAACAATCAACGTCACAAACGAGCACACAGTCCACCCGATGGTAAGTGGATGCTGTGGCCCATAGACTACTACATTTATCCTCAATTAAGAATTAAAACGCAGATGCGTTGTCACCCATGAGGACTAAGATGGAATGGCTCGTTTTCAGAGACACTCACCATACGAAACATAGAAGCATTAAGAGGGCATATACGTTTCGCGTCGAAAACTACATGTTTTATGGTTTTTCCAAAGGCGATATCGTAACGACGTGAGGAGATTATTTGCTGAAAATTAGGGCTTTAGAAAGATGAAGTCTTTATTTAGTACATAGCAGTGCAAAATCATAGTTTTTAATGACGGTTTTTTAGGGCGAAGACAATCCCTTCACTGTGTTTTACGAAAATATGCATCAGAGTTATCTTTCAGGTTGAATACAACCATTATTATAAGCTAAAATACTTTATTTTAAGCGTTATTATAATGGAATATATAGTCTTTTAGTGTATAGCAGAACCTAAATTACAAAAATATTTCGATTTAATATTATAAAATAATATTATAAAATCACCAAAACTGTCTACTTCAATGTAATTTTTTCCATGTATTTGCTTATAAACATATCTATTTTAATTATTTTATCAAAATACATGTAATGTTAAATATCCAAAAAAAAATTTAGCTCGTTTTATTTTGTCAATTATTTTATATAATTATTTTAAAAATACTATAAAACATCATGCGCAGGCACCGTTCTATTCAGTACGCTCCGGGTAATCCCAACGACAGGACGTATCACTTTTTCTCACCGACACCGCGCGATCGCGTTGATACACCGATAGGGATATACTACACTATACTATAACTAGCTACCTACAGCACCATCGTGCATTATAAGCGATATACTATTATAAGCGATATTTTTGGTAGTAAGTAATTTTGAAATATGTTTATGATTGTAATATTTAAATATTAAATGATGTAATGGCGACAAATTTTCATTTCATACATATTTTTTTAGAAATGAGTAATGAACGTTAGCAATTCGGATCAAGTAAAAATACAAAATCGTTGGCTTTCACCTTTGGCTCCGTGGCGGAGTGACTTGGTAATGAGTTGTAGCGCTGATCGCCGCAGGTTCGAATCCCACATTGAGCAAAAATTTGTATTACCTACAAATAATTGTTCCAGGTCTGGATGTTTGTCCTTGTGAATTTAATGTATTTAAACTGCCCCAACGATGTACTTAAGAAAAAATTCCTAGTGCGGAGATAACGTTATGATTAAACAAAGACATGCCATCAAAAACATAACTTGTAAAATAACCAAGTCTCGCAATGATGATACGGCCGTGCCGCTGTTTTGCTCGACTTGGCGGGGGCACTACCGTGCCCCCAGACATAAAACATATGAGCCGTGCTTGAGTTGAGTAGCTCAAGGGCGTAGTGCTCGCCGTAAACGCGAACAATCCGGGCTCGATCGCCGCTAGTGTTGCCAGGTGTCTCGATTTGCGCGGGACGTCCCGATTTTCAAGGATCTAGTGACACGTCCCGATTCACCCTTGATCGGGACGCCAAATGTCCCCATTTTCACTAACATTCTTATTCTATACTTTAATCCATAATTTAGACAGCAAAAATGGTTATATCTGTTGGCTACTACCACATTAAAATATTTTTACTACGACATTGTCTCACCAGTCGAAAAAAACCACAAAAGTTTTAAACAGAATTATATTAAAATGAGTGATTTGAAAAATTCAAGGACTGCAAAAAAAAGCAAATAGTTCAAAAATGTTTTAATTTGCTTAAAATGAAAAACAAAATCAGTTTTTACGATGTTCGGATGAAAAATTATTTGTTTATGAGATCAGACCCGAATAATAATTATAAAGCACAAAAATAAAGTAAAGTTACAGTCACAATTTCTCGCATTATTCGCATGTGATATTTACACTTTACAGTTAGCGTTGACCATCTGAGCTACCACGGCTCTCAATAAAGCACAAAAAGACTACAAATAACCTATATTTTGTAGTCATTGTAGTTATCCGGATATGAAAACCAAATCCCCGATTATTTTTACCTTCCGTCCCGAAATTTTACTTGCTAGACCTGGCAACACTACTCCCCGCCGACACTAATGAAATTGTTAGTTTGTTGAAGATGAATTATGTTTACATTATGAAACAGAATAAAAGTTTATCAAATGATATATATTTTATACAATACATATTTTTCAATTAGAACATATACATATTATAATATACCTACTCAATAGGGTGAAAATGTAAAGCCGACTTCAATTTACTAAAAAGAATAAAACAATTTCCACATATTAGCCTCCGATTTCTATACACTATATAAGCCATTATATGGAAATTATTTTTTTATTATTTTAGTTCCAATATTATCAAAGACAGGTGTATATAATCAAAGATCAAAGTGATTCGTAGTCGTCGTTAGGCAACTATTATAGCCTCACGCTCACACTGACACGCACACAGAGATAACATTGTAGTGTGCGTCAATATTACGCCGATCCATAGCGATCGCGTAGATTTCGACTTGGACATATTTGAATATGCGCTCTTAAGCTGCTATTTTACGTAGGTACCATATGAAAGCGTGGTCCTACCTCAATCAACCCACCCATTCATGGTACAACCATAATTTTACTGCAGAATGGCTCTATCACGTAATTGTAGGTTCTTTTTACTGTCACCTACGATACCTATCATGTAGCTTACCTCCAAGTAGTGGTTATTATAAGATATAATCCATCACCCTTTTTCGTTTAGTGGGTGTCGTAAAAAATTACCACGGAAAATGTCAATAAACGGTTTCGCTACCCTATGTTATATATAAATATATATATACAGTAAAATAGTCGTATACATGGACGTAAAATGTGTTCACATTTGGTATTCCGATAGCAAATCCAATCCAAAACGTCTACAATGGGAGAGGACCAGTAGTACATGGGCGGGCTATAAAAGAGAAGATTAATTGTAAGAGCGCTTGCACCCGCAGCACTCGAGCTCCTCCTGCTTACGCTCATCCTCATTCTCATTCCTCAACCCATTCACTTCATTTAAGTGGTAGACATTTCATCTTAGTTCTCTGGAGTGGCAGATACATTCCGCATTTTGACTATTGTACGTCGTACGTCGTATTACTCTTAATTGTGGATATATAAGTCGGTATCTATGAGTCACGACCACCACTTATCAGGTGGACTGTGTGCTCGTTTGTCGCCTTTATTCTATAAAAAACTGACTGCCTCATTGGGTTATTAGTCGTTAACATGACTGCAGTTCTGAGATCCTAGGTTCAAACCCGGGTCAGATAAAAAATGAAGTTATTGAGATTTCCTGTCAAGAAATTCTCAGTAGTAGTCCGGAGACAGGAAATCGGCGGTGTTTCACCCCCGCGCTTCGGAAGCCACGTAAAGCCATGGGTCCTGCGTCTGATCTCTCTCCGGTCATGTCGGTTTGCCGTCACATCGGGCTATGAGAGAGTGAGAAAATAGACAGTGCACTTGTACTCGCGCATACGCTCAGACACCATACTCAGATGGCTAGTCTCCATTGAGACTGGTCTCCGTGACCACGATTGGTCTGGAGGACTTTATTCAGCTGGGTGGCTCACCTGGTGCGCTCCAGCTCCTGCAGCTTGGCGGCGAGGTCAACAAGCTGTGCTTCGGCCTGCTTCCGACGACGCTCGCCATCTGCACGCGCCGCACTCGCACTCTTCAGTTCCGTCGCCAGGTCCGCGTTCTCCGCTTCCAGCGCCTGCTTCGCCTTCTCCAGTGCTGCAGATCACCATAACCGCACTACGTTACTCGACACGCTTCACAATAAGGGGAGGGTCGATAACAATGATGGCTAATAACAACCTTCGACTTTTCGTGCGACTGAAGTAAAGTAGTTTTAAACAATGTTCTTAAAATAAAAAAGATGCGTTTTAATTAAGAGTTTATCAGTTAGTTAAGTGTGTAAATACATAAAGCAACGCCTCAGTTGATTGTTGCTTGTGTCCAGCAGCAGGCTGTTAGGGGCTTATAATGATGACGCTAAACGACATGGCAATAATGAAGACTAACTTCCAAGCGTATTATTTTATGTACGTGCAGTGCTTTGTATGAAAAGTCCGCCAGCCAAGCGTGGCTAATTTTTACCGACTTCAAAAAGGAGGAGGTATTTAATTATACTGTGTTTGTTTCATCTGTATGGATCCGATTTTGATGATTATTTTTTTTATCTGAAAGCTGGTGCTTCTCTTGTGATCAAATATAAATTTAATCAAGATCTGACCACTAGTTTTTGAGTTATCTATTATTCGGTCGTATTGAAGTCGGTTGTTAAAAAATTTTAATTTGTAAAATTAAAAATTTTTGTTTTTGTTTAATTATTTGATACGAAACACCAACAGCTTTGGTACATTTCACTTATTACAAAACTAAAAATCTACTTAGCTTACAAAAGGTATTCGCATATGGAAATCTATGGCAGAGGCCTTTATTCAGCATTGCACTTATAGCTGTAATGGAACAAGTAACAATGATGCAGTACATTGCCTGCAAAGTATTTCCATTACAATCTGTATGTGCATATAATATAATATGAAGACCTTTACTTTATGAAATGAATCTAAGAATCTACAAATAAAGAAATATTACTTCATTTAAAATATATAGCTAACAAATTACTAACAGCTACATCTATTGGAAAGATCATCATCCTTTATATTTGGCGAAGACCCGCCCTTACAGATATGTTGCCAATACTCCCTAGTAGAATTGAAAGCATTGCCTTCGTCATGTGGAAACCCGACAGATTGTCTCTCTCGAAATTGTCGTCTTTGGATAACCCGAACTTCACATTCTTCTGCCTACGCTCTTTCACATTGGCCATAATTCTATTGATTAAAAATTAATATCGAAAAAAAGCTATATCTTATAAAATCCCGCAAAAAATATAATCATTAAAATTTGACTCTGTATGTAACGCTCGAAAAGTTAATTGACATTTTGCTAATGGCCATCAAATATAAATAATTATTTTAAAAATGGAATCGAAGCTCGTGTTCAAAGAGAATACAATGGGTGCGTTTGGCAGAAAAAAGCGCTAGCAAGCGCTTGTAAGCAAAATGGCGATCGTAAGCGGTAAGCGCTGTCAAATCGTAAGTAGCTATTTTCCTCTAGGACACGATGTTAGTTTTAAACGGGGAACCTAACCTAATTTAAATATATGTTTGTAAAGTATTCATATTCAAAACTTACCAATCATGAATTTTTAATAACATGTATATGTTTATTCACGTTATTATATTACTTAAAACTAATATTGCACAAAACAACTTATAAACTCAACTTCAAAACAAACAAATTAAATAAGCAAAATGGCGGATTGTGTCAGCGCTACTGAACTAGCAATCGTGTCCTGGCCGAAAACTATTTCAGCGCTTGTAAGCGCTTGCTAGCGCTTTTTTCTGCCAAACGCACCCAATCACTACGTTTACTAGTGATGATCGAAATATAATAAATCGAAATACGTAATACGTAAATTGTTCTAAATGTTTACTTTTATTATTTATGCTCTATGATGTAAGGTTGGGCTTACTATATATAAAGTTTATTTTTTCCACGACCCAACTATCATTATATTATGTATTTTGTATTTATTGTTAATATAAATATGTGTAATATAAAAAGGATTATTCTATGGAAAGTACTAAGTAAAAAAGTTATAACAATTATACATTTAATTGATGTGTTAATTATTAAGACACATTTTTAAGGTTCAAAATATCTCATTCTTTCATTTATCCTTTTTTAATTTAAAAACTAATAAACTATAAAAATAGTAACACAAAAGTAAAGGCTTTTTTAACAGTTTAGTGGCTGAATCATATTATCCACTACTCCTATTCGTCCTGAGCATGTCGTAAGAAGCGACAGGGGAAAAAATCACCACCCAGGAGATGGGCAGCAGCATCTTTCAAATAACAACTAAAAATTAAGGAACTGCGGTTACCTACCCTCCTGTCGAGCGTTGCAACTAAGACTGATATGAGACAATTTATGGTCTAGCCTGATGTTTAACAGGGGCCTTTTGATAGGCTGTAACGGTAAAGATAATGGTAATGATGATTTTTTTAAATTAATATTTATAGCAAGGAATAGTAATTTTCTTAGGGTACATATTTTTATATCTACAATTAAACCAATGTGTAATTTTTGTTTTTATTTATTTTATGGAGTTGGTAATTCCAACATGAAATACAAAAAATAACTTTCGATAATGCCCTTATAAGACGTGATAAGTGTTTATATAAAAATAGTCGACAATTATACACGATATTATCCTATCAGATACTTTAAGGTTATAATTGAATTAATTGTGTTCAGTCTACAGTTATTATTCCATACAAAGGATAATCAGATGTAATGGTGATAAAACATTTTACAATGCTCCATTAATGATAAAACGAAAGAAAACTATGTAAAAACAATTATGATCTAAATTCTAGCCGATAATAAACTTAAATACTATCATGTTGTGCTTATAAACAAGATTTTAAAAGTTGATAGTTTATTTATTAAATTAACTATTTATTTTATAAATTAAATATTATTTAACCCTTAAACATCGTAACAGTTATCTTTTATAGGTCTCTCTCTTTCTATCAGTATTTTTTAGTATTTTTAAATAACGTTTTGTTACTTCACACTTACGATGGGATGGTAGTTTTCTTTTTATTATTCATCTTTATAAGTAATTCCTAGTTTGTATAAGTTATTGCTGTTTCTATGATATCCTAAATGAATTACAATAGCAAAGTTGATAAAAGTAATGAAATTCTTATTCAAAACAGGTAATTACTAATGACTGACTGTGTGAGATACAAGAAAGAAGTCAGAGGATGTCACAACTATTATAAATGTATGATTCTAAGGTGATGAAAAGGGACAGCTGTATAACTACAAACTGATATAGCATAATATGTTTTGTTAAGTTTATCAAACTTACCAACATAATTCATATCTGTGTGCATTGAAATTCGAAATTCGAAATCATTCGAAAATAAACTATATAATTGAAATTATATAAATTAAAATATATCTGTAGAGATTTGTATATGTTCGATTAATAAACAATAATATAAAATAAATTGATAATATAAATATATTTTGTAAAGAGTCTCAAAATCTTTCACTAATTTTATTTAATCAATGTCGGAGACATCTACCAAACTAGAAGTTTAATAATACAAAAAGCTTCATCGAATCTTAATGAATAATATTTTAGCAATAACTACGGTCTTGAATAAAACTCTATTTATGGGTATTATCGTATTTAATTTCTACTTTCTGAATTTCAGACGTTTTGGGAGTTTTAGAACACCCCCGGTCACGGGAGAACTGAGGTGTTTGACGTACCGATGTCATAGTTAACAAGGGCTCTCTTTAACTTTTAAATATTAACTTGTGGTGCAATCTACGCAGAACGTGGTATGTTGATATCTCACCTCATATGAAGGATATATACGTTGAAGCACCTGCGCCTTCCTTCATAGCAACGAGTTAACGATTACCTTGTTATTAGCAGTAATTACGTCAGTAGATTTAAGTTCGTTAATTTTTGAATATGTTCTTTGTCTTTTCAATGTTTTATTATCCTCCCAACTGTTGTGAGATCAATACAATCGTCCTAGATCACATTTAAGTTGTATTATTTTTAAATTCCCGTAAAGTCCCGAACAATATATGCCTCATATGTTCCATAGTTGTTAAACATAGCAGGTGGCTTGGCAACCGCAATTTTTTATTATTTTGAGTTGTTATCAGGAAAACGCTACTGCCAACTTCTTGTTGCAATTTCCCTTAACTGTTTTTTTTTTAAGTTACCTCCACACTAAGAATTTCTCCTGTATCGTGAGGGCAGTTTACATACCTAAATTAACCCGAAACAATTATTTGAAGGCCATACAAATACTTGTTCCATGTGGGATTTGAACCCGTGGCCCTCAGCGCTGCAACTCATTGCTAAGTAACTGCGCCATGGAACCGTCAATCGCACGCTTTCTCTTCGCATTGTCGTCTCTTACGACACCCAAGAGATGTTATGGCATCATTTGTCAGTTTATATATATACGGACAGAAGAATTATATATAATGTATATAATTCTTCTGTCCGTGTTTTTGTGACTTTCGATTATTTAGGAAAACGGCTGGGCCGATTTTGATGAAATTTTGCGTGTGTGATTAAGTTGATTCGAGAATGATTTATATCCACAACTAGTGATGGGCCGAATATTCGTTTTATATTCAATATTCGGCATATTCGGCAGCTTTACCGAATATTTGGCACATTCGGCAGCTTTACCGAATATTCGCATTCGGCAGCTTACGGAATATTCGGTTAAATCACCGAACATTCATTAAAGTGATACTCAGTGTCCACTGTATTGAAATTTACGAATTGAGTAATGCCGTGTCTTTCATAATGTTACTGTTGAGAGTATATTTTATTTATGGGTTAAATCTATTTCTATAGATTTATTTCCAATTGTAGCAAATTGAAAGCTTGATAAAATGTTTTTGGAATCAAAAAAAAAAAAAAAAGAAACATTAAATACATTACATTAGTACATTTGACTTTACTTTGGTCTTCAGTTTCTTTAAAATAAGTCCAAATAGTAGATTTCCTGTCATTCATTTTTATCATATAATTATCAATTTTCACTAAGAAGAACACAACGAAATATTTTTTTCTCACAAAAATAGTCAAAACTTAAGCAAGTATCGGATATTTGCTCAGTACTAGATGATGCAATAACATGTCAGGTGTCAGCGAGAGGCAGGGTCCGGCGCTAATCCCGCGCGCTTCACGATAACAAGTTTCGACATAAATTGGTTAGATACCGCGGTGATCCTGCCGAATAATGTTCGGCCGAATATTCGGTTCGGTAAAAGTTTTACCGAATATTCGATGAAATCCATGTTCGGCCCATCTCTATTCATAACTGGATCCGGTAAATGCCGCTAATGTTGAGATAAAGAAAGCATCCATGCGAAGCCAGGACGCATATAGTAGTTATAAAAACTTACCAGCTTTGGTCTTTTTGAGCTGTTCATGCTGTTCGTTGAGCTGCTGCAACTCCTGGGAGTGCTTGTGCCGCTGTTCGGCTAGCGTGGCCTCGTGTGCCACCGCTTCTTCCTCTAGGCTTCGCTTCAGTACCGCTACTTCTTGCTCGCGTTTCGAGCGGAGCTCTTGTTGGGCTGTAAGGAAAGAGTTTTGTTTAGATAAATAAACTATTAATATTTTCGTCAACCACTCTAAGTACGTTGCAAAAGTTTTGTAGGTAATTAATTATACAGGTTAGCACCAAGTCCCATAGAGTAAAGGGGCCCGTCGTGTACAGATAAGTTTAATTTTTTAGAAATCATTTTTTTTAAATTTATCATAGAACATGCTTGAGTTGCCGATAGGTCTATATAATATATAAACTATTATATATTATATGGGATCTTATGGTAATAGCCTATAGGTGGTAGAGCCACGCTGCAGTTATATTATGATTTTACCACGAATAGGTCGGCTCGACCGGGGAAGGACCACATTCTCACAGAATACAAAATAGCAGCTTAATGCTGTGTTTCGTATGGTGAGTATAGAGAACCGGAAACCCGTTATACTGGAATCGAGGCATTCCATCTTAGTCCTCAGGGGTGACAACGCATCTACATTTTGATCCTTAATCGAGGTTAAATGTAGATATCTGTGGGCCATAGCATCCACTTACCATCAGGTGAACTGTGTGCCCGTTTGTCACCTTTATTCTATAAAAAACTACATATAAAAATATATTGACAAAAAAAGGGGTACCATGAGGAGTTCCTTGGGGTGTTTTTTCTTCAGATTCAAAAATGACATTTTTAAGAAACATAATTTTAATTTTTTTATATCATAGAAATAAATATTTTTTTATTTCATTAAATGATACGACTAACTATATACAGTCTTACATATTTATCATATGTAAAAAAGGTACGATAATTTCAGCAGTTTAGCCACCATATTTTCATTTATTGTTAAAAAGATATGACAGTTAAAATCTTATCCCATTTATCAATATGTAAAGTTTCCTAATTTTTTATCTTAATCTTCCGTCAATCATATTTACAATGCAATACTGTGTACAAAGTGACTAATAACGTAGCTAATGGATTAACAGATTAGTGTTCGTGATAAATAAATAAAAAAAGAATGTATGTCTAAATGAATTAGTGAATGTTAGAATTAACGAACGCATGTATGCATGAATGCATAAATTAGTGAACGCATGCACGCACGAACGAGTGAAGGAATGATGTATGTATGTATGTATGAGGTGGTGTACAGTCCGCCAGCGCCCCGTGCCGCCTTCTGCAGAATATAGTTTTGTGTGCAGGTGCAGTACGTGCACAGTACGTACCGGCGGTGGTGTCGAGCGAATCGAGCAGCTCGCTCTTGAGCGCCTCGAGCTCCTCGTTGAGGTCGCGGCGCAGCTTCTCAGCCTTGGCGCGCGCGCTTCGCTCGGCGTCCAGGTCGTCGTGCGCATCAGCCAGCGCCGACTGCGCCTCGCGCGCCGCCTTCTGCGCGACCGCGCGCGCTGCTGACTCCTCATCCGCTCGCGCCGCCGCCAGCGCCAGCTCCTCCTCGCGCTTCGCTGCAACCAATAAGCGACACCTCTTATAAACGTGCTACGTGAATACCTAACACTCGAGCTTATCTCTAAATCTTATAGGACTACTTAAGCCAACTCCTCCACGCAACCAACACGCAACACTCCTCAATACCTCAATACCAATACGTCACCTATCAGCCTTCATACATATCACCCACACTCACATTACAAAAAAACTTACGAAACAATTAGCTCAGCTCCTCCTCGTGCTTCCCTGCAACCAACACGCTCGTTAGCTTGCAACCTCCACACATACTACTCACACTCTAATTGCGTAGAGGGTTATATAGAACCAACCAACTATAGTCGGCTCGCCCTCACACTTTGCTGCAACGAATGCACTCATTAGGTTGTCACCTCCATACATAGCATTCTCTATAACAGACACATTTATAAGAATTATAGAACCAATAAACTTCAACCAACTATTGCTCAAGCTTCACTGCACCCACCACGCTTGTCAACTTGCAGCACCAACCAACTCTAGTCAACTCCTCCCCGCGCTTTACTGCACCATACACACTTCCCAATACCTCAATACGTCACCTTGCAACCTCCATACTCCCATTTCAAGAAAGGTTATGTAACAATTAAACCAACTACTGCTCATGCTACGCTACACACACCACATTCGTTAGCTTGACACCTCCATACCGACCTCTCACACTCATTACAGAAAGAATTATAGAACCAACTCCAAACAACTCCTCCTCCCGCTACGCTGCACACACCACGCAACACCCCTCATCCCTCATCAGAGTTATGGAACCGACCAACTCCACCAAACTCTTACCTCACACTTCATTGTAACCACAACACTGACCAATACGTAATCTTTCAACCTCCACACGTATCACTGACAGTTATCTGTCTGAGAATTATAGAACTACCCAAGTCCAACTAGATACTGCTCATACTTCGCTATACACACCACGCTCCTCAATACACCACCTTACAGCTGCCATACACATCACTCACACTCATATTACAGAGTTATAGGACGAAACAATTCCAGAAAGCTCCTCCACGCTCTTTGCTGCACACACCACACTACAAGTCTTATAAAAGTGCTACCTGAATACCTAACACGGACACTCATTTCTAAGAATTATAGAAACAACTCCAGCCAACTCCTACTCGCGCTTCACTGCAACCACAACGCTCGTCATAACGTCAACTTGCAGCCTCGACACGTTCCAATGACATTCATCTATGAAAAGTATGTAGTTAAAGTTAGAGTTACAGAATTTATACGTCCCGCTGCAGGGCACAGGAAGTGTATGCTGTGCTACTTTAACAAGTGTTTGAGAACTTTACATCTTCGAAATATTTTTTCCTTTTATTATTTTATTTCTCAGACATGCAGGTTTCCTCACAATGCTTTCACAAGCACGTGGTAAATGAGCATTTAACAATTTCATTGGTACCGGCGTTGATCGAACCTGGGTTACTCGCATACTGTAAAATTTACAGCGAGCGCTAACCAACTGAGTTACCATGGCTCTATGAAATGAAAGTATATAAAACCAAACAACACCAATCAAAGCTCCTCCTCGCGCTTCGCTACAACCACAACACACGTCAGCTTACAGCCTCCACACCTACCATTCATACTCACATTTCAGAGAGGATCCAACTAACTACTGCATGCGCTGCACTGCACTGTACCACGCTCGTCAGCTTGCAGCCTCCATACCAACCACTCACATTTACATTTCAGAGAGTTATAGGACATATTACTCCAACGCTCCTTAATACCTCAACATATTGTATCAAGTTGTGCAGCCTTCTTACAAAGTACTCACAACTATATATGCGATATATAGGGCTAACTCCAGCTAACTCCAGCTAACTCCCACTCTCACTTCTGCTTTCTCGCGAGTCTTAATAAATTTATAACCTAAATATCCCACTGGTAGTCTCATTTCAGAGAAGATTATGAAACAATTAGTCCAACCAGCTCCCCTCACACATGCTCATTAGATTGCAACCTACATACCCATCACTCACATTCTCATTGCGGAGAAGGTTATGGAGAGAACCCATTTCAGCCAGCTTCTCCTCGCGCTTTCCTGCAAAAACCACGATCCTCAATACCTCAATACATTAACTTACGGCCTTCATAATCTCATGTCTGAGAGTTATTGAATCAACCCAACAACTCCAGCCAACTACTTACTCTTCACTGGCCACACAACACCTACTACTTATACTTATTTATGAAGGGATTATAGGACCAACCCCAACCTGCTCATACTTCGCTGCACACACTGCACGCAATAATGTGCTTGCAGTCTCCGTACAAACCACTCAAAATCACATTTCAGAGAACACTCATTAACTTATATCCTCAATATGTTCCACTGACACACATTTCTGAGAGTTTTAGGACCAGCCAACTACAGCCAACTTATCCTCCCTCTTCTCGACACATACAACATTCGTTAACTTACATCATCAATACCTCCCAGTGACACACAATTCTGAGAGTTTTAGGACCAGCCAACTACAGCCAACTTATCCTCCCCCTTCTCGACACATACAACATTCGTTAACTTACATCATCAATACCTCCCAGTGACACACAATTCTGAGAGTTTTAGGACCAGCCAACTACAGCCAACTCATCCTCCCCCCTTCTCTACACATACAACATTCGTTAACTTACATCATCAATACCTCCCAGTGACACACAATTCTGAGAGTTTTAGGACCAGCCAACTACAGCCAACTCATCCTCCCCCTTCTCTACACATACAACATTCGTTAACTTACATCATCAATACCTCCCAGTGACACACAATTCTGAAAGTTTTAGGACCAGCCAACTACAGCCAACTCATCCTCCCCCTTCTCTACAATACAACATTCGTTAACTTACATCATCAATACCTCCCAGTGACACACAATTCTGAAAGTTTTAGGACCAGCCAACTACAGCCAACTCATCCTCCCCCTTCTCTACACATACAACACTCATTAACTTACATTATCAATACGTCCTACTGACACACATTTCTGAGAGTTATAGTAGCAGCCAACTCCAGCCAGGTCATCCCCGCACTTCACTGCACACACATTTCTTAATATTTCAATGTCACATTGAAGCCTCCATACATACCACACAATCAAATTTAAGAAAATATTGTGGAACAATTAGTGTACCCAACTCCTCTTCGCAGTTAGCTCATGATGTTTTCCTTTATCACAAACCCCAGATAAATAATCACATAAAATTTATAATATCATTGTTTCCAGCATATTTTTTCGCCTACTGTAACATTAATGCCAAACGCTTAGCCCTTGAGCTACCATGGCTGTAATATAACTACATTGAAACAATAAGATGAAATTACTGCAGGTTCTTCTCACTTTTGTTCACTTTTGTAACCGGTGGTAGATTAAGATTTCCATAAAATCTTGAATAAATCCCAAATTAATAAAATATTTAACTGTGTTTTGTGACATTTCTTAGGGGTAGCCAGCCTATAATCAGTAGACTTGTGAAAGACTGTTATGACAATTAATGAAAAATGAAATATCTTTAAATTAACTTTAGCATATAAGAATACTTCCTCGACTGCAGTAAAAAAATACAGATTATGTCTTCTCTCACCTTTAAAATTTCTAACCAATCACAAAGTATCAATAGCTTACCAAGGACTATCTGCAATTCCTCAACTTGCGCTTTCCTCTCTGCAAGTTGCTCCTTGACATCTTGTAATTCAGTTTCCAACTTCCGCTTCGCGCGGTCAACTTCTTGACGAAGTTGGTGGTCCTGTAGCATGCAATAATGAAGGTTAAAATATTAAACATTTGAAAAATTCTTATAATAATACATTATGTATGTATTTAAGTTATACATACAAATATGTATGTATTACTAAAGACCTTTTTTAATTATTCTGATAACCATAAAATGATTACTAAAAAAATTTACGCCTATAAAATATCATCGTCATTGCAATCCATAGTAAAAAGCTTGTCATAAATGATAGGCTTGATGCACCAACATCTATCGACTCACTGCATGCTTTATAGGCAGCAGTACACTAGTCGCGAAGTTCCTCGCCCGAAGTATTCGCCGAGGTCAGCCGAGGTACGAGGAGCCTCTTTACACACTCGCTCAACTACGTAAGCATTTAGTCGCTCACACGCTAGACGAGATGGAGGACGTTCAAGACGGACGTACAATTGGCAGCTGCGTTTGCTTTGTGCACTGTTGCGTATTTTAACTATGTGCGTATATTGGATGCAAAAAAAAATGGATTTCCAGAGTCCCAAATTACCGTTTCCCCCTGGAGCAACTTCAAAAACAATAGTATTTGCTCTTGTGACCAATTCATTTTTGGCTTAAGAAATTTAGATCGAATTAAAACGTTTTTAAATTAAACAGCACAACGTTAACTTTATAGAAAGCCGAGTAATGTACAGGATCACTTCGTACTCGAAACTTCGGTCCTTTGACTCAGGCGGAAAAAACCGACAACTATCGGAAGTCACCCGAAGCCCGGCGCGGTTCCCCGAAGCGAAGCGAAGTGTCCCTGTACACACTCGTCTTTGCCCAACTTCGTTCAACTTTGCGAGTAGTGTACTGCAGACATATCAGATCATCACTTTAACATTACTTGATACTCCAAACCATGCTCATTGATACATAGCTGTCACTCGAGAACTTTTTTCCCATCAGTATTGCAAATGATATCTGGGGTGGTTGCCATTTCGGATAACATTCAATCTTTTCAGCCATGTCAGTCTCATAGACTTACAGGCCTTTTGATATTTACATTTGCGCTGGACGACATCAATCTTTCAAATCTAAAGCTACGTATGATAAGAACTCATTATTATAACGTTCTTAACTGCTAATTAAGTGAATAAAACATACCTTGAGCAACTTCTCTTCGAGTTCAGCGATAGCGGACTCCTGCTTAGCTTTGAGTTTGCTGAGGTGCTTGGCCTTCTCCTCTTCTTCAGCCAGTGCTTGCGACAAGTCCGTAGCGCGTTCCTCCAAGATCTAATATGAATATTAATGTTATATTTTTAGTTTTTCACATAAATTAATAACATGATGTGATGATGTAGTAATAATTTTTTCTTGCAACACATCAAATGGCCAACTCCATATGACGATTGTGGATGATTTGTCACTCCTAGGTTCTAAGGAAAACCCTCATAGTCAGTTATTAGTCATAATAGTTCAGGGGAAGAGCACTCCCTCCAAAATTTCACTGCAACACATTCTTGGGGTTGTTAAAATCGAAGACATGATGTATTGACCACTAACATTAATTAGGATAACATGGCAAACTTTTCTTTGCTACAAAAATCCTCTCAAAAAGGGGCAGATCTGAGTTCAGAATAGCATGTAGGTTTAATTTGTAGAATAAGGATAGTAAACAAGCACACAGTGGAGTAAGATTAGAGTCCCTCATACAGGTATAATTAACAGAATTTACACCAAAATTCCTATCCTACAAGCAAAGTACAATAAAATCCCTAAAAATTTGTGTTTGGCAAGAAATATAAGATACAAGTAAATTAAACTAACCAGCCGGAGGGATCAAACCCAAAGGAGCTTAGAATTTTCACAGATGGTTCCAAAACAAATGAAGGTACAGGATCTGGAACTTCCTCCGAAGACCTCAATGTCCACATATCTACACCGCTGAGTACCCACATCACAGTCTTTCAGGCACAATGTATGGGTATCACCCAAGCGGCCATAGCAATAGATGCTTGGAAAGTAAACGACTTCTCCACCAGAATATTGACTGACAGCATGGGGTTACTACAAAGCCTGAGTCGCAATTTGGTAAAATCAGGGCTGATTTAAGAATACCATCAACAACTAAATGAGGTATGTAAACACAACAATGTGATTCTGCAGGTCAAGGGACACAGTGGATCCAGGGGCAATGTTGCAGCAGACGAACTGGCCAGGAAAGGATCGGCTCTGGCCACTATAGAGCTAGAAACAATCACACCAATTCTTTTTGGTAACAACATTCATTCACTGGTACGTAAAAACTTCACTAATCAACACACTCAGCTTTGGAAAATCTATTAAACTGTAGACAAGCTAGGGAGGCTCTGCCAGAAATAAACAGTCACTTAAGTAAGGTTTTAATGAGATACTGAACGAGATGCTATCACAGAAAATGGCTTTTTTGACAAACATTTATTTACTATAGGTGTGACAGATAGTCCCCTGTGCAGGGCATATATGGGGGAAGAAGAAACGATGTTGCTGGCATGTCCGGAGGTCGTTATTAAAGGACAAAACACCTCGGCACGCCGAGATCACTCCTCAAAGTTGCTTGCAACATCAAAGGACTGTTGAACTTCTTAAGGGAGACTTCATGGCTCGAATAATCAAATTATTCCTGCCCACACGTAAAATACGCACTTAGCCGTTGCTGAAAGCAGCCCGTCGCAATCTATCTATCAATCTACCAAACAAGTACACAGTCTACCTAATGGTAAGCGGATGCTGTGTCCCATAGACATCTACATTTATCCTCAATTAAGAATTAAAATGCAGTAAAATCAATATACGTTGTCTCCAGTAAAAAGGGGAGACCTTTTTTAGGGTCTCTACACTCACCATACCAAACACAGCAGAATTAAGCTAAAGGTTTATGCTGGTATTCTATGAATATAGCAGCAAAGTGGCTCTACCACGTAAAATGCTCATAGCATCTTACATCACAGATTTAATATACTTTACAGTAAATTATTTTTCAAGCTCTCGTACTTTTAATAGCTAAGAAAGTAATCTGAATTAGATGGACTCTAAAAACATACCAAACTACCTGGTGAAAATGGAGAGGTTTATACCTTTTTCTCTTTGATCAGCTTCTGGTTGGTGTCCTCGCTGAGCGCGAGATCCTCCTCCAGCTTCTTGAGCTTGGCGTCGCACTGCACGCGCTCCAGCTGCAGCTTTTGGCGGGCTGCTTCCTCTTCTTCCAGTTGTTCCTCTAAATCCTATTGGAAAACAGACCATTAATGAATATTAATATTATAATCTTTTTGAAAATTTGTAATCTTTCTTTTTGTCCGCAATGTGATGTTGATATTAATATCAAAGAAGTAGAAATGGGTCAAAAAAAGGCAAGTGAATGTGCTTTCGTGATTAGTAATGTCTGTACACCTACTGGTCAGAGGGCTCACACATACCATCTGACCAATAATAGTAAGTGGAAATGACATCTTAGTAACTAGACCATTCAGATGGCAGTATAACATTTTTTTATAAAACTAGGATGACAAATGGTACGCAAAGACCACCTGATAGTAAGTGGATACCGTAGCCTATAGACATCTACATTTATCCCCAATTAAGAATCAAAATGCGAATGCGTTGTCATCAATGAAGAGTAAGATGGAATGCCCTGTTTCCAGTAACAAGGGTCTTAGATTCTCTACACTCAACATATGAAACACCTCTGCTATATCTTATGCCGGTTTTCTGTGAAACCATTGTCCTTCCTCAGATGAGCCGAACCATTTGTGCTACAACCAAATATGGAAGCATTTACCTCTCATCATCATCATCATTACAGCCCTTCACAAGTCCACTGCTGAACGTAGGCCTCCCCCAAACAATGCCACAAAGCACGGTCCTGAACCACCTGCATCCATCGACTTCCTGCATGTCTCACCAGGTCGTCACTCCATCTAGTGGAGGGTCGCCCTACACTACGCATACCGGTACGAGGCTGCCACTCGAGAACCTTTCTTCCCCATCGGTTATCGGTTCTTCGAGCTATATGGCCGGCCCATTGCAACTTCAGCTTACTAATCAGTTTGGCTATGTCGGTCACTCTGGTTTTACTGTGGATATCCTCATTTCTGAGTCTATCACACAGAGAAACTCCGAGCATAGCCCTCTCCATAGCTCGCTGAGCGACCTTGAGCGTCCTCATACGGCCAGCAGTGAAGGACCATGTGTCAGATCCGTAAGTCATCACCTACCTCTACCATGAACAAATCCGCAATTATACAAGCAACATTACAATAAAAAGAAAGTTTCTCATTTGAACATTAGCATTGTAAACATCAAGTAAAAACAGAAATATGGATGTTTTGCCACAAATCTATCTGAAGGTCACACTACATTACTGTGTACCTGAATATTGAGCTGCAGCCGCTTCTTCTCCAGCTGCAGTGCGTTGCAGCGCTCCTCTTCCTCCTCAATACGGCCCTCAAGATCATGCAGCAGTTCCTCGAGTTCCTGCTTGCGTGCAGCGGCTCGAGCTCTGCTCTCTTCGGCCTCTGCACACAGCTCCAGCTCCGCCTGGTGAAGAATGATAAGTGTTTAAAAATATTTTATATATTTACACGGACTTGGTATCAACTCTGCTTACGTTATATATAGACATATATTTTATATAATAAATGTAAGAAGAAATACATGAGAACAGACACATTTTTGAAAATGCCCAAGTCCAATATCATTACAACCTATCAAAGTCCAATGCTGAAAATGGGCCTCCCCCACAGATTGCCTCATAGGGAGACATTTATTGCTATAGTTGCCACGCTTGGCAAGGGGGTATGCAACAGCAGTTTTTTTTTATTTTTAGTCCTTATAAGGAAGACGTTGCTGCCCATCTCCTGATTTGTAACCCACTGTCACCTCTTATGACACCCACAGGATGACATGGAGTAGTGGATATTTTTATACTGCCACTACACATATCCTAAGTCCAATAGTGGACTTAAAATAAATGGCTGCTGATGTAATAGGTGCATACACAAGTTGATTGCCAGGCAAAGACCACTGTACAAAACTCCTCATATCTAGATTGAGAGCGGCCATGTTTGTTTCATCTTAAGTCAAGTAATTTTTCATAATATTATCAGATGGATGCAAAATAAACCAATATCAGTAAAAAGAGACGTATAACAGTATTTATTTTTGATTCTACTATAATTTAGTATCAATTTCTTATAAATACATTAATAATAAAGAGTTAATTTCATTTCCGAAAGCCACGAGTTTTGTTAATGTTACTCATAGTCAAATTTATAGTAATTATTAAATAGCGAAGTTTTAAATTATACTAATTTTGTTGTACATATCTGAAGTATTAAACAAACATAATAGCAGTTACACAATAGTTGATGGTGTTCTTGATGATTGTCTTGCAATATTTTTACCATCACCAACCAAATTACTCATAGTAAAGACCTCTTAAAATAGGATCTTTTGAAAAAAGGTGATTTGTAAGATAACATACACACCTGCAGCTGTTCGGCGAGCTGCGTCTTCTCCTGGTTGGCTTGCTGGTACTTCTGCTCGTACTCTTGGCATCGCTTCATCTGTGTTTCTAACTTGTCCCTAATCTGGCGGAGTTCATCTTCCTTCTGGGTTAGTTTCTCTTCTTGCTTCGTTACTTCTAGCAAAGGTTTCACCTGGAATTTGTACGATTACGTATTAAGTATTCGATATTTGCTCTTGTTGTATATTTTGCCTATTTTAGTACAAAAATGAAAAAATTACAATACTATACATCCATTTAATTTAAAATGATTCTATTATTGTAACCAATGATAGAATAATATTAAAATAAATTTAGATCGTTTTTTTCTTTGAACAATACTTTAAGCAATATCCTTTTTCTACTTTTATAAGACCGTATTTGCTAATTTTATTTATATATGAAATTGAAATGTATAAGAAATGAAATTGAGACCATCTTTGTATATTATACAAAAAGCTGATGAAAATAAATAATTAAAAATATTGCTTTTAAATATATCATTTGTAATTTTAACCAACAGCACTGTTTTAAAACAGTGTTATATACTTTGTCAAATGCTGTAAATATGTATGTATGTAATTGTAGTGTCATTATTGAGGACATTCCTTTAACTTTATAGAATTTACATAAATAGCCATAAACCATCTATCTGTCTGTCTGTATATTCAATGAGCACCAGATGCATAACTAAAATATTGAATAATTAACAATTGAAATAATACATTTCTGAGCACAAAGGCTTTCTATAATATGGAGCAAAGATATTTTCAAAACATAAAGTATATTGGTTAATGTTAGTATGACTGTACATGTTTGGAATATCTTGGTACAACAATACATAATAATATGGAAATTCTATTGTTAACACACTATAATGTTTCCATTATCTAAATATCTTCATTAGCTTAGAATGCTTAATATGTCAATATTTTTAAAACTGTGAGTTCTCAGACAAATGCACAGCGCGCTTAGCTACTACGTTGCAGATACTAGGTACAAATTTCGGTCAGAGCTAAGACTTCTGTTAAAACAACTGTTGTTAGTTTTTTGATTCCAATGTTTGCGATTTTAATCATCTGATATGAGTAAGTCAGGAAGAGTATGTTGTTCTATGGCATCCTAGTGATTACTTATTTGGATATTTGAAACCATAGAATACTTAATCACTTAATGACTGTCAACATTTCCGGGATATTATTTCAGTTAATCACATTAATGTTGACAGACTGATTTTACATATTTATTTGTAAATAGCGTGAGCATTTTCTAAAATTTGGAAACGATTGTAACATAAAAAATATCTTGTTGACACTTATATATCAATTGTTAGTGGAGGGTTCCACCCCCCCGTTCTATTATGTATATTGGTATTTTTTGAAATCGAAAAATCTATCCAAATAATCAGAATAAGTAGTGTTAAAAAAAGTGTTTAAGTGGATTAAATATAGATAATAAACGTATATAAAATATAGAAGGCCGAAAGGATTTTTTGACATTTCTCATAAAAGCGACATATAATGCTTACTTTTATGTACAGCCTCCACCATTGCCAATTCCTGAGTTTTAGGTACGCAGCACAGTTCCTCTGGATAATCCTTATAGCGTTCAACTGCTGAAGACGCTTCTGGTAGTTCCTTCTGGCGAGGTAACCGCGACAGAACGCCTGGAAGTTCACGATCAGGTCCGTAATCTTGTAATCTCTCTCCTCCTCTAAATGCGCCAAGACTCCCGCTCTGAAGAAGATCTTGGACTGTCCAACACGGTACAAGTTATGGTCGAGTTCTAAGGCTTCGATCATTTGCTCGCAAGCTTTCTTCCCGTCCATAAATCCTTTGGGAATGATATTAGGCGTGAGCAGCTCGTACCGCTGCCTGAACTCCTGGAAGGGTATCCTGTTAGGGAAGCCCTGTCTGCATATTCTGATACCTTCAAGCACACCATTACATCTTAGCTGGTCTAGCACCAAAGGCGCTTCGATTTTGCCGGCCTTCTTCTCGTGGTTGGGAATAATGCATCTGACGAAGTTTGGATTTGTGTTCCTCAGGGTCGCCATCAGCTTCGTTAACTGTTCCTTGTACAATTGGGAGACGGTTCTGAACATGCCCTTCCTTGTTCGCGCACCGAACTGTGTATCGGTCATCGCTTGCTGTGCCATTCCGACTATCTCAGCGTCCTTCCAAATGTGGCACACGAATGGATCCTGAGACGATTGGAGAAGAGAGACCACATTCTCGTTCAGTGGATCCATGTTCTTCATCAGCCATTGCGATGCCGAGTAATCGACTTTGCCGGCATAGTGAATAATAGCAAAGTCGGCGACTCCCCTGAAGTCGGTCTTCATGAACTTCGGATGTACGGAGTGTGCCGACACGAGTTTTTCTACAAAGCTCTTGTCCGTAGCCTTGGGAAACCAGCATTCTTCGTCTAAGAGGGCCATGATACCCATTGGCTTGTCAATAAGATCGATCGTCGGCTGCAGATCCAGTCCAAAATCGATGAATTTCCATTCGATACCTTCCCTCTGGTACTCTTCCTGTTCTAGGATGAACATGGTGTGGTTGAAGAGTTGCTGCAGTTTTTCGTTCGTGTAGTTTATACACAGCTGTTCGAATGAGTTCAGCTCGAAGATTTCAAAACCTGCCATATCCAGAATTCCTATAAACGAAGCGCCTTGTCTCTTCGTTCTGTCGAGAGACCTATTGATTCTGTTCACCAGCCACCTGAACAGTCGTTCGTAGCAAGCCTTGCCTATCGCTTCCACCGAGAACTCGACCTGTTCTTTCGTCTGGGCTTTCGTCACGAAGTCGCGGCCAACCTTGATACGCGGCTTCAGGAATGCTTTCGTCATTTCTGTCACGGAAAGACCTGGAATACAAAGAAATTTTCAATTAAACGTATATGTATGTAATGGTTGTAGCACACAAGACACGTGCACGTGGCATGCGTAGTACGTAAATGTGAGGCAATGTACACGAACTGCGTTCGCATGTTGTGTGCCTACGCATACGTTTCTGAACATGATGAAGAAAATGGAGACAGTAATTCACCTGAAGAAAATGTTTTGCTTTTATTTCTTTGCATGTGAAACCCGGCTTAGTTTTACGATTTTCTTTTTCATATATTTGTTTTTAAAATACTTTATAACTGTCTCATGTCAGTGTGCACCTTTCTGTCTTACTCTCTTTATATCTGTTTGTCTTGTTTTACCTATGCTTAAATATATTACGCTATACGAGTTCATTAAGTGTGAGTGCTTTAGTGCAATAAATCTGTGGTATTAAGTAACACGTTTCACGAACCTTGACCACTTGACCAGACAGTTTAATATAATAAGTTCATTACACATGAGACTACAAACACTTATTATTTTTACAACATTATAACTAGTGGTGTAAACCATTTTTTTATAACTTACCGCACTATAAATTACTTTTGAACCGTAGAAATGTTTACACACCAATCACAAATGGATAATCACCTAATGGCAGAAAAAGTATCTATTGATTCAATTTTCATTCAATAACTGTTCCGAGCGTTGGTCGGTTACAAGCTACCAACTGAACTTAGGTCTCTCCCAAAGACTGGTACGAAGCTGTCTCTGCTACCTCAAAATGTATCACTCACTGATACAAGGCTGCCTGAAAGTGAGTGATTAATTGACGGTTTTCCGACCTCAATGTTCGTAAAATATGGGAAGCAATTCTAAATTAGCTCGTAAATATCCATAGCTGAGCATGGAACCTCTCCATTATGGAGATCATCATCATCATCATCATCATTACAGCCCTTCACAAGTCCACTGCTGAACATAGGCCTCCCCCAAGGAATGCCACAAAGCCTGAGCCACCTGCATCCATTGACTTCCTGCATGTCTTACCAGGTCGTTACTCCATCTAGTGGTGGGTCTGGGTCTATGTGGAGACGAGTTGCTTTAATCGTCATGCTTGGCAGACGCATTAGCGACCGCAGAACCAGGTATCTCCCATCTCTGATGCTACTGCCTGCCACCGGTCTGGGCATTGTATTTACGTCTGACATATATATCTGTGAAAAGCTATGAGAACTTTCAAGCGTTTCCCATAGTCGCCAGACACCCATGGGACGAAATTACTTACCAAGCAGATGCGCGATCTTCTGCGCCACCGTGTTGTCAGGCAACGTCGCTTGGTCCGAGTTCCTTTCTTGTTTGAATTGCATTGAACCAAACAGTAGCACGGCGGACACTATCCTGAAGATAGAGTTGAAATCCTCCATATTCATCCCCATGATATTCATGGACTTGATGGTCGCCTGGAACTCCGCCGCGTCGTCGATACCGGGGACCGGTAGCGAGCCATTGGTCAAGAACGGGTAGTTCTTGGGGTCTTCTAGAATGTACTCAGCTTTCTGTTGAGGTGTGGCGCCGACGAGGAGCTGGTAGAAAATGTGGAATGTTCGTTCGTCCTTCGCCTGCCTGATCGCTCTCGACTTCTCCAGTAAGTACGTCTCTATATTCGCGCCGGCTATGTATCCCGATGCGTCGAAGTTGATTCTTATAAATTTACCCTGAAATATGATATTGGGTTTGATTAGTTCAAGGGCCCAAGTACTCTTTTAAAATAGAGGATTATTTCAAAGTCAGTAAGAAGTTCAATGGCCAAATACACAAAAGCTACTCAATTTTAAGATGTCTTATGTCTCGTGGTGCCACAGTCACTTTGACTTAAAGTGATAGAGGCACCATATGACTTAAGAGCATCCTACAATTGAGCAACTTATGAATATTTTGGCACAAGTCTGACATTATCGGATTCTCGTTTTAACACGAAGATGATGTCCTCTTAATAATCTTTAATACCAAAATCCATCATCGATAAAAAAAAACAAGATTGGGATGCGTTGTCACCATTGAAAACTTGAATGGAAAGCCTCATTGTCAGTTAAATAGGATCCGGTTCTCATCAGCTTATATAAGTATACACTACAACTAAAATAAAGCTGTACCAATTCAAGACACGTTTAAAAATCATGGAAGTTATAGGTTCACATTGAATAAAAATAAATCTTGCAATTGGACTTAATCGAACAACAGTCCAACGACTTAATTTGAAACAATGCTCCATACTGCATATTATAATGTATTTACATAAAATTATATACATACATGCTTACATAAATATATTACAGTCACAAAAAATTTATTCATTGATACGAATTTTTGGCATTACTCCAAGGTATTTCACCGCATACAGGTACTACAATATGTGCATTCAATTATGAAATAGGCCGTTAACGCCGAGGGAAGTAAAGTCATTATCATCATCGCTACAGGACTGGAACCGGCCCATATACTTCTTTATAAACTGACAATTATAAATAGAAACCGGCAGTACTTTGAATATTTTTTTTAAATAAAAATGCCGTGACAAATGATCTTACAGTCCACCCAATGTTAATTGGTGCAGCAGGCCATCATCATCATCATCATTACAGCCCTTCACAAGTCCACTGCTGAGCATAGGTCTCCCTCAAAGAATACCATAAAGCAAGGTGCTGAGCCACCTGCATCCATCGACTTCGTGCATGTCTTACTAGGTCGTCACTCTATTACTAAGTACTCAGAACACCATGGACACCTGCAATTCAACCAAGTTTATTGGAAGAAGACTATGTTTTAATCCAGTTTTATTCTGTTCCAGGTGTGGATCGTAATGAAATTGATTCGATCTTCTTTCGAAGGCTACAACATTTTTCAGGCTCCACTTATTGACTTTTACCATGCTCAGGGTGTGAAATGAGCAGCACTATATCTTGTACGTGCTGTGTTTTCACATTGACAATGTGATGTATTTTGTAGTAATAAAAATATGTATTATATATACTTACAAATCTCGAGGAGTTGTCGTTTTTGACTGTCTTCGCATTACCGAAAGCCTCCAGAATTGGATTAGCTTGCAGCAACTGTTGTTCCAGCTCGCCCTACAATCCGGTCAAACATTTATGTACAGATCTTAAATAAATATAATGTTAAATAAATACAATGTGTCATTAAAAAGACATACACACACAAAATGATAATATAATAAAGCTTGCGTAAATACATATAATATGAAATTTGTAAATGTATGGCCACAATAAAAATAAAGCGTGTATAACTATCAAGATCTTTTAAATGGGAGCTAAAAATGTAAATAAAGATAAAAATTATTAACTACATTTTTTCCGCTGGTGACTGTCTTGTGAGTCAGCAACCACAGAATAATTAAATTTTGTACTAAAGAATGTTGTTCTTCTCTTAGTCACCCTTTACTTGAGACAAAAGCGGTGATGAATTCTCTCACATTGCCATAGCATCGTACGAAATAAATAAGCTTCGAATAAATATGTTCTATAATACAGATATTAATACAAAGCAAAGACTTATAGACCTTCATTAGTTGATTATCGCTTACTTAAATTAAATATTTATTATCCCTATACTTTTCTTTTTATATTGTCATTTTGTGAAAAGAGGGAGCAACTAAAATCATTTCTTAAATTTTGAATATGGCAAGTTGATATATGAATTACCCTTTACTATCTGTGCCAAATTTATATTAAATACTTCTTTTAAATTCAATCTGGACACAGAAAATCCAGCTAAATCTAAGTCAAGGGTATAGTATGTAAAATATATTAAATATTGCTAACGATATCTCCTTAGAGAATACATAAGCAATCTCTAAGGATACCGTTTTTATTAGTATCGTGCGTGATAAAATTAAGTTAAAATAGCGATATATCGTTACCTCAAAAGTAGGTCCATTGCTCTTTTGTTAAAAGCAGCGTGAAAAATGGAAGTTAGTGTTAATGTAAATGCGTTGATGTGATGAAAATATTTGGCAGATTTCGTAGCAATAATAAGGAAGTTAATTAGAAAACATTCTACTAAGTTTTTTCCTCAATAAGGTTATTTATTAGCTACATAATTCACATTATGTTAAAAGCATTCATGAATACGTCACAATAAATATTTAACGCGTTTTAATAAAATAGTAAAACATGCAAGCGTCGATATCGATTATTCACTTAATAAATCAATCAACAATCGATACATCGTAATTAACATTTTCAGCGCAGCCAACGTTGACGGGCGTAACAAAGTTTAATGAAATACTATCAAGAACACTTACACCTACTGTAAATATTTCTAATAATGTACTTTTTTATCATTTTGTAACGAAAGTAAACCAAAGTGTGACGGTACAGACTATCCAACTAGAAAAGATGAGGGTTCGAAACCGCCGTTCCACTGATATCGTGAACGACGAAATATATTGAGCTTACTTGTAGTTCGTCATCAAAAATATTTACATAGCTTTTAGTAATTTAATATTATATTTTCCTATTTGAACAGGATTTTGTTCACATTTTCATGGGTATTAATTTTTTTTTGTGCGGAACCCTAATTCTTTTTCTACGATGAAATTAGCCTAAGTTACTCCTTATAATATCAACTATCTGCCAGTGAAAGTCCCGTCAAAATCGGTGCAGCCGTTTCGGAGATTAGCCGGAACAAACAGACAGGCAAACAAACAAACATTTTAAAAATTGTTTTTTGTTATATATACCGTATATATTTAGTAAAAGGCTGATATTTTGACATTGCAAACAGAAACTACAATTTTATTTATTTGTTATTGTTAATGATTTGACTAGTAGGTGTGTGATTTTTTAATAGTTTTTTTTATTGTCCATTATGCCATGAGCCACTCCTGCGTCACGGCTGGCATGGGGACTGGCGACCGCAGAGCCAGATGTCGCGCACTCTTGTCGTGATGATTCGTAAACGACATGTTAACTAAGCTATATCTACCCGAACATTTCAGCCGGTTTCAATTTAATTGTCCACAATCTTAGGACACGTGTCAAACCGACTCAATCGTGCTGTGACTGTACCAGGTAAAGCGTTGCTCTTGTCCAAAATCCAAATATAAGTACTCAAACACTATTCAATTTTAAAACGCCCTTGAGTCTCGTGCTGTCTTTATCACTTTAAGTGAAAATGACTATGACACCACGAAACTTAAACATCTTAAAATACATAAAATTTATACATTATAAAACTTATTTTCCATTAATTTAAATACAAAGTATCATCAACTGACTATAAAGATAATGTCATGTAAAAATGTACGTCATACATAACAGGTACACCCTATACATAATGTATAAATGAACCTCTGTGTTACTGGTTACAATTCACCATTGATCTGGAAGGCTACTGTACCGAATCCCGACTACATGCTATCTCTCTCACACAACAGCAATGTTATCAGCAGAGGAACAGTGAGTATTTATGTAATTATTTACGCATGGAAAAACAATGTGAACTGATAACACCTATCGCGCAACTTTCTAAGCGTCAGACAAAATGGTCGAGAGTACCTAAATAATATAATGGTTACACTCAGAACTAAGTCTTTTAGCTTTGTTCTCGATATTCATTACAAAGCAAAGGTGAGGACTGAGGAATGCAAAAATTACGTCATAGGTTCAATGTCCACTGTTTACTCTTTGTTATTAACTGCATGTTTAGTTTATTGACCGATCTTTTGATTTTACGGGCGGTTTAAAACACCTGACAGTAAAAGCAATTAAATATTTGCAATCCAAATAAGTTATGAGAATAATGATATAAATGATTTTTGTGGAATAAGCATTGTCACATATCGACAAACTGTTAGTTACATATAATGAGCAGTGATTGTCAAATTTACGTTATGTTAGTTACCTGAAAAGCAGATGATAAAACTGAAATCCCAACATATAAACATGCAAACAAACTTAAAGAACCACTTTGATTAAAATGAAATTCCAAAATTAGTGCTAAATTCCGTTGCATATCCATCCAAACCAAATACGTAACACAAAATTTGGATCAAATGTTTACCAAACAAATTACAGTTAAATATAATGTTAAATATTTGAATGGATGAAATGCTACGAAAATACCTCCAATGTTTGAAGCAAGTTCCGAGTTGTTTTTGTTTTTTTGACTTACTATAATCAATTGCGGCGACGGTCCCTGTGGTCACCAACGGCCAGGTGCAGAGAGGGTGGAGGGAAAAATAAAAAAATATGTTACAAAAGTACACGGAAGAAAAAACATTCGCTTAGTGATTACTACTTCGCGATAAAAGTTTGGGGTCATACGCATCCATTACATTTGTGTTTAGTATTCCCGTACAATTATTTAATTATTATTTGAGTGTGTGTCTTTTAATTTCATTTTCCAACTTAGTAAGTCCATGCAAAATTTTATAAATTTGCTGTGAATTGTTACAATTATATGTATTCATCATAGCCTTAAAGACAGCCTATAAAACTATGATTTCAACTGAAAATATCAAAAACACACCTCCTTTTTTCTTTTTTTTATAGTATCATCACAAAGATAAACTGGAATGAAGATAAATAGACTCTACATAATATATGAGAGAGAAAGAGAAAACGTATTAGCATCACGAATCACGACTATATTTATTATTTACATTGTAATATTATTTGTTCAAGTTTAGTTTGAAATGTACTATTAAAAACGTTGAAATTAAATTTCTAATAAACGTTACAAATAAAATAACGAATTTTATCCATTTTGGTACAGAATGATTTATAATCATGAGTCATCATGTTAAATAAAGTTTAATATTAAGTATGTTGAGAGTTGAGACCACACCCAGAGCTCACTCATCGTTCTGTTTATAGTTTACTCTTAGGGTGATAACACACTGCCAGCGATAGCGCGGCGTTCTAATGCAATCCATCGAGCGCTGCTATTGCTATGCTATTTTTACTAGCAGTATAAACTCAAACCTAGGTGTAACCGCACGTCGGCCTTTAGCCGTAACTTAATATACACGTCTCGCAAATAAAAGTTCACGATGTATCTAAGAATACGTAATGACGTGATATAATGAAGTGATATAAATGATTAACTACATACTCGTATATATTTTTTTCTTTACTTTTGGATTTCTAACGCGCTCTAGCAGTGCTTCACGATGGGAGGGTTTCGCGTTGAAAAAAAAAACGCGAATTTACTACTCAAATTTATTGAAAGTTTACAATTTTTATTTGTTTTTAATAATACTACTTATACACTTTGTAAGCATCTACTGCTGGCTTTACTAGAGTTGTCACAAAATATGTCCTTACCCGAATACGATACTCGAACCAATAAAGAAAGCGCTTTAAAAATTAAAAAAGTAGACAAAATTATAAGAAAGTAACGTAATTTATTTCATAACGAAAGTACTTCAAAATGATTTATACTCAATAAAAACATTATAAAGAAAATTAAGATGATTCTCTGAGATTGATTTGTTGTTAGAGAAACATACTTAAAAAAAAATCTATTTACAATACTACGGATAATGAAAGAAAACCTTTAAAGGTAACAAATCAAAGTATATTAGACATATTTTTTTTGAAGTAATCTTTTTCATTTTGTCAAAATTGAAAAAACAATCAAAACAACGAAAATATAATAATATACAACCCTACTTTACGCTACAATCAATTTTTTCTTTTTGGTAAATAATTTCATCTGGTATATCTTCAAAATTTTGTGTAATTTAGAATTAAAGAGTAAACCCTTACCGCTCCTGATCCTTTGGGTTTGGATGCGGCGACGTACGCCAAATACTGTATGACCTTTTTGGTGTTCTCTGTCTTGCCAGCGCCCGATTCACCCGTACAGAGGATCGACTGGTCCTCACGGTCTGGAACAAGTTACAAAATGTAAATTTTCATACTTTATCAATAGGACGTGATTGTGCCAAAGGGATTCAACCTACACTCGGGACATTCATTATACCACTATCAAGTCTACTGCTGATCACAGGCCTCCCAAATGATGAAATCTATGATAGAGGGGATTTTGTCATAGTAGACACGCCTGGCAAGCGGACTGTCAACCGCAGTTTTTTTTATTATTTTGATTTGTTATCAGGAAGATGCTGCCAATGATATTAAGAATGCCGCAAATAATAAAGTTTTCAAAGTTCTTCTCCGAGAACATTATCTGAGGGCAACTACTAATTGACATTACTTTTCCTTAATTCTTGTCTTCATTTTTATTTTTTTTTACATCAAATATTTATTTCATTATATATTATTCAAACATTATATATGTATATATATATATATATATATACACACAAAATGTAACGTAATTAACGCACACCCTCAGACACCCCAATTAGTATATTATGTTATAATCATAATACATACACTGAATTTTTTGTTAAACATTTTTATGCACTGATTATTTATCAAATTAGTTATACTAATTCCGGATGAATGTTGTCGTCATAGTACAAATCCACGAACGCAAAACTTTAAGGTGCTTGAAATAAAGTTCATTTTTCTTTATTTTTATTGAATGACAGAATTAGTAATAATACAAATAAAACTGCACTCTGAAAGTCTTATTGCCTTAAGTTAAGGTCCATTTCAGTTTGGTTTGACTGTACAGATTTAGTGTGACTGAAATTTACGTAGTTTTAAGTATTTTTGGAATAAAAATTACCTATATTAAAAATGATAGGAATTGATTCAGTAAACGATTTTGAACAAACTACTTTCTCAAAGTGCGTTAATTATGTTATATGTTGTATATATATGTGGGTGTGTATGTATGTATGTATTATTGTACGTATATATGTATTGTGTATGTATGTACCTTACTTGTATGTATGTGCAATTTATTTATGTATAATGTTCGCACCTGCCAACAATTGTCCTTAGCACCCAGGGTTGACTGGCAGAGAATGCCACATGGCATTAAGTCCGCCCTCTGTACCCTTTAGCTGAAGGTGTTACACGTAAGTTTTTAAATAAATAAATAGATAAATAAGATGCTACTGCCTATCATCTGTTTCAATTACCGTCTAAACTAATTCTTTTATAACTAATCTGGAAGATAGTACTTACAGACTGATGTCTTAATTATTTTTTTTAAATAAAAAATTAATAATTTTGTGTTAACTTTACTTTTCAGCTTAGATATTAATTATTTTCAGCCGACTTTTAAAACAAGAGGGGGTTCTTGATTATACTGTATTTTTGTATGTATGCTACGCCATATCTTAGCCAATTATGAACTGTTTTTATTATCTTTAATTAGCCTATTCCTCACGGCTAGCAAAAATTCCATACCTGAGCTGGAATACAGGATACATTTTTCCACCTTAGGTGCCACAGTTACTTATTGCCATAGTTGCCGCGCTTGTCAGGCAGGTTGGAAACCGCAGTTTTTTATATTCTATTTGTTGTATGGAGGACACTGCTGCGTACCCTGCTTGTAATTTTTATACGTGGTAGAGGGCTGCAGCTATATTATGGTTGTAGTACGAATGGGTCGGCTCGACCGGGGAAGGACCACGCTCTCACAGAATACTAGCGTGAAATAGCAGCTTAACCTGCTGTATTTCGTATGGTGAGTGTAGAGATCCGGAGCCCCTTTTTTACTGGAAAAAGGCATTCCATCTTAGTCATCAGGGATGACAACGCATCTGCGTTTTGATTCTTAATCGAGGATAAATGTGTCTATGGGCCACAGCATCCACTAACCATCGGATGGACTGTGTGCTCGTTTATCAGTTATCACCCTTATTCTATAAAATATCTCTTTGTTACACTCTGTCACCACACTCGGGCCCGTAAATACCAAAATAATTCATAGGAACAGTTAATAAACAGAAAAAATACAAAAAGAAAGCAAATGGATGGATTTTCAAACACTTACAGATACAATTTAGGTTAATGACAGTGTTTATTGATTAAAAAAAAAACGAAGGAAAAATATAACATAGATGGATTTTAACATTTTTATTTAAAAATTTTAGAATAGTACCTAAACATGTAAAACTCAAATATTTATACTATAATAATATAAATATATCAATTTAAATCTCTAGAGATTAAAACAGTTCGAACATTTAGCAAAAAATTTAGAATTACTTCTCGAAATAAATAATATGTTGAGCATAGGGTTAACACTTAAGCAAAAGGTTGAGTATCTAGTACCACGTATTTTAATGAGATATTTTATAAGACGAATGTGGTAATAAAGAAATATTTAAAAGGAAGTTGAAAGCGCGGTTGCTAGATAATTATACGTGTAATACGAGGGCGAAACTGAACATTTCGGGAATCAAGGAAGTGACACAACATTACAATTTAAAAATGTATTTACTGCTTTTCGAAGTATTCTCCGCGAAATTTGACACATTTTTCCATACGATGGAACCAATCATTGAAGCAACCATTCGGAAGTTGGGGTCTCCAAAATGGCCGTTTTGTAGGCGTCCACAGCTTCTTCAGGTGATGAAAATCTCTGTCCATGCAATTTATTCTTTATTTTAGGGAAAGTATAGAAATCATTAGGGCTTAGGTCGGGGCTGTACGGCGGATGGTCTAATAATTCTATGTTTTCTTGCTCTAAAAACTCTTTTGTTCTGTGTGCGGTGTGAGAACTCGCATTGTCGTGATGGAGGATGATGCGGCGGTTGCAGTTCTCTTTACGGAGTTCAGAAACGACCTGTGGCAAACAAATGCTAGCATACCATTCTGCATTAATCGTTCTTTGTCCCTCAAGAGGAATAGTCGTAACATGGCCGGGTTTGGAGACAAACGTGGCCACCATTTTTTTGCAACACTCCGTGAACGAACAATTTTTGTTGGCTTTAACTCATTTTCGAACACCCAAACTCGTGACTGGTTTTTTGTTTCGGGTTCGTACGCGTATATCCAGGATTCCGTATACAGCATTTGAGGATCCTGCGTGGAATCTTTCGAGAGTTCTGACGCACCAAGTAACGCGAGCCGCTTTTTGCTCTTCACAGAGCGAATGCGGTATCCATCGGGAAAACAACTTTTTTACACCTAATTTATTGCAAGATTATTTGTATTTGACTCATGCCAATGTTTAAAGTTGCCTGAATTTCGCGGTATGTCACATGTCGATCTTCCAAAATCAGCTTACGCACAGCATCAACGTTTTCTTGGGTGACTGCAGTTTTTGGACGACCTTGAGGGGGTCATCATTGAGCTTGACACGTCCACGTTGAAATTCAGCAAACCAGCGATAAATTGTGGTTTTGGATTTGGCTTCATCACCAAATGCAGAAATCATCCGGTCAACACACTGTTTTTGTGTTAAACCACTTCGAAAGTCATAATAAATCATCGCTCTTGAATTTTCTCGAGTCAATTCCATTTTCTCAACGGCTAAACAAGTTTGACAAAACCTTGTGACAAGACCGAGAATCTTTTTTTAAATAAATAAATGGTATTCGATTTTTAAAACCAAGGAGTTTTCAATTTAAAAGATTTTAATATGACAGGAACAGTGGAAATATTCCATTCCTACTACTTTAGATACTTTTAGTGCAGCCTATGTACATTTCCTACTCAAATAAAAATAGTTAGTAGTAAGTATATCTAGTTTATACTAATATAGAATGTAATTTTATCATAAATACCAATTAAGTGGATGGATGACTCCAACACTGAGGGTTTCGTACAATAATTTATTTAGAAACTCGTAAATGTATATGCACAAAGAAAATTAAAAAAAATTAAGAATAGATTTAATCGTCATCATCATCATTGCATTATATTACATAATATATTTATTTTCATTCAAGAAATAAAATATATTTAATTTCATTACACCAAGTGTACTCGTATATAGTACATAGGAGAGATATCACTGATAAAATATACCATTATAACATTAGATAAAGCTATTCTTTCATGTATAGATTACATTCCTCGTCCCACTTTTTCTTAATAAATGTACTAATATTATACAATCAATTGAATGAAATTGTAAAAATAAAAGTGGCACAAACACAATACAAATACATAATTCGAACATGTTGACAAAATTTGACATACGATAGGATTAACAAGTGTAGCTCATTAGTAAAGCGCAGCCGTGGGCGTTCCAAGTGCACTCGATAACGGAGCATTAGGCCGTCCAGTGAAGCGCCACCGTGGAATACTTTACCATATTAACAATTCCTATTCGGTCATGAATATGGCTATTTCTGTCGCGACTTACATGCGACAACAACAGACCTTTGTGGCTAACCGAACGGTATACGCCGAGTGAATGGTAATGAGCGGAAAAGAGGATTTTCTTGGCTCGGATTATGTACGTAACTTGCCGCGAGTTTAAGAAACCGATTGACAATCCCAGTATAGCGATATACTTTAGAAATTTAGAATAGAAAGCAAAAGTGAAAAGGGCTAAGCTCAAAGTTTCTCTGCATGAAATAATTCCGTAACAATGATATTCCGAACCAGAGTTACCGACATAGCCCAGCGGATTAGTCAGTTAAAATAAAAATGGGCCGACAAATAATGGGTGGAAGAAAGGTGATCGAGTGGCAGCCTCGTACCGAGAAATTGAGTGTAGGACGGTATCCTAGTAGATGGAGTGAAGACGTGATAAGAAATGCAGGAAGTCAATAACTGCTGGTGGCTCTGAACTCAGGCTTTAAAGAAGGCTTATATTCAGCTGTGGACTTAAAGGCTGTAGGGATGATGATAATGATAATGAAAAAGCAAAAGTAAAGAAGGCAAAAATAACAGCCTAAATAATATGTCTCACGGCTGGATACAGGCCTTCTCTCATTTTCGGGAGGGTTTTTGGCGGGACAGAATAGTTTTGCTGCGCTGATTCAATGCGTACCTATTTCACATGTCATCG